GCAAGATATGTATGGTTTTTAACTTTATTTCAATACAATATAATTTAAAATACATACAAAATTTGTTCATTTACTCAAGCTAGTAATATATATATATCATAATATTAATGTTATATTGATTTTTGTAAAAAATATACGAAAGGGATAATACCGGTCAATGATCATAATATTAGGTACACACTATACGTCTATACTAGACCGCTACTGCCCCATTTTATATTTTAATAAATAATTGTATTAAAAAATTGTTATTTTTTTAAATTAAAATTATTAAATTAAAAAAAGTACTAAGTAGACACGATAAATAAGCATTTAATTACATTGTTATAATTTCTTTTTCAAGCAAAATTGCTAAGTACCTATATCTCACCTAATATATAACAAACCTAAACCTAAACCTACTCAGTGGCGAGCCCAGAAATTATCAATAGGATGGGATGTAGCAAATAAGAATAACGAATAAATTGTAAGTTCGTCTTCTCTACCCAAATTGACTGTCGGAATTGGTAATTTAAAAGCCGAATCCTAAAGAGGCCAGTTTCTAATCAATGTGTCAAGTTTTTCTTCGTAACTTGGCTGAAATATATACATTTCAACATTAGATTACTCATATTTTTCTGTATTTAAAGTCAATAGAGGAGGTATAACCCCTGACCCCCTCCCTCCCGTACATTCCACTGAACCTATATTGCACAGTATAAAATACCTATACCTAGATATTTGATTTATTTACTAATTAAGTATATTTTTACTTAGATGTCGCGTACGTAATATTTTGAAAAAAGTGTTGAATTATTTACATGTTTACGTGGAGTTTTTGTATGATCGCTATTATCTAGGGTAATAGAAATATCGGTTATTTTCATTTTTTTTTAAAAAATAAAAAAAAATATAAGCTTAGGTTTTAAAAATCATTGACATAAATTGACAACATTGACATAATATTTTCAACATGCGTTTGTATCCATTTATTGTAGTAACATAATATGTTGACTCTTAAAACTTAATATACAACAATTGCTTAGGTGACCGACATACTCCATTCTCCCCTAATCTTAACATTTTTTTTTTCATTGTTGATAAAGTATATTTTGTGTTGTATAATATCTATGTATAGCCGAACATTAATTTTTATAAATAGGTAGCTGGTAGATACATCTTGTTAAAAATGTTACAGTAAAATAGCTGAATATTTAAAATGGTTATAAATTCGTATGTTTACAATCGGAATAAGTATGCATTATTTTGATCATTTAATAGTTAATATAACTGTATAAAACACTAAACACTTTATAATTGAAATGTAATTATTACCTATATTTATTTATTGTAAAGTTTTGAGTGACTTCAGAAAACTTGTATATATATATAATATAATATACCTACCTATACTATAATATTATTTCACTATTTTTAAGTTCTGGGTGGGTTTTTACTTGACCCTCCTCTTGTAAATACGCCACTGAAATCCCAATACCCAATTCGGGCCCTACTGCCCGTTAGAATAAGGCCTGGAATATGTAGTTTATCAAAATATATATCAAATTATATAAGGGGTAAGAACAAGTAGTGAGAATCTATCTCCACTATTTAATTATTTTACTATAATATTATATACATATATATTGTTGACAAATCATCACTATCAATTGAACTCCGCTCAGAATAGTTTTTTCGTAAACAATGGTTTATCGTTGCTTACAAGTATATATTCAATTACCTATAACAGTGGCTGCACCCGTCCTATTATCCTAGGACGTCTTTTTTATTTTTTTATTGTTATAAATTGTTTCTACGTAGATGTTGTAGATCCTATGTTACCTGTAACTACCTATATTTCGACAACCACATATGGGTTTGTAGGTACGTGTGTGAGTATCTACCTACATGAATTCAGCATACCTAACTACCCAAATCCCTATTTTTCAATACCTGCACTTACCAGGAACAAAATGTGTAAATAATTATTATATGGTATCTAGTAGATATCATTGAATTTGTATACATGCTCGAATGGGGGGGGGGGGGCGTAGGGGGACTGGTCTCTTCTACTATTTTATCATAGGTACCGAAATGGGGGGACAGTGGATATATAAAATTGATACAACATTTTTTTAAAGTTATTTTTAATTTGTTGTGGTTTTATAGTCTTTTTTTTGATTTTATGAATTTATACATATCCATTTTATTTTATTTTTATAGTAGTTTATAGTTAATCGAAATTGTTGAAAATAAGCGTCAAAATTCGTGAATTGACAAAGGAAACGGCCACGGTATAGCGTAGTATTATAGTGTCTTTTAAAAATCTTTTACTAATGCCTTTTTTTTTTAAATGAACTATTATTTTTGTCGGTACGCTTTTTTGTAGGACTAAGCGGAGCTATGCGTAAAACTGTTTTTATAGGCATAAAAGAAGATTTAGATGAAATGATTTTTAACTTTTAGATCTATAGCACAAACACTGAGAAAAAAATTCACAAAAAAAAAAGATAAGATTAGAGGAAAACTAGCAAAAAAACATATACATATATATGTATATTTTTTTTTCTACAGAGAAATGTGCATATTACACGGTATATTATTCTGTTGATATCACCAAAATATTATTTAGTTATTACCTAGGCACTTACCTCTAATTGTTTGATTGATAAATGAAAACAAAAATCAATAAAAAAATTAATCTTCAAATAAAGAAGAAGATGGACGTTACATTATTATAATTTGTTTCCACTTTTTGTTAATTAAATTAAGACATTGAAATGTTATAATAAACGAAGGGTAACTACATTATATTATTATTATTATTATACCATCATCCTGTTGTGTTTACCAATCAAACGCGTTAAGTGTTACATAATAATAGAATGTCGTACGGTATCTCTTGTACTATACTATTGTACGGGTTTTTTCTACATAATAACATAATACAATACGAGCTGTTTTAATAATAATACGGAATAAAAAAATAAGACTGTGTATACAAAATAAACAAAAGCACCGTCGAGAGTAGTTTCAAGGGTACAACCGCTGCCGCCGTCGGTGTGCAATATTTTTGTTGGCTGCACTGGTACGCAGCAGAGTACAATAAAATCGACTACGTATTTCTGTCCATCGAAAACATAAAATAATCCGGGTTAGGGATAACGACACAGAAATCACAACAATTATCACAAGACGAGACAAGACGTAAAACCGTACCTACAAGGGTAAAAAACCGTCCGATCGGCTCGTGGCGTCAAAAAATGTTTACGAAGACGACACAGAACTCGATTGATTTCAGTCTTAGAGTATTGGTGTATTTATTATAAAACTTAAAGACGATCGACTATATTTCGGGGAAGCACTACGCGTTTTCCCTCCCCCTCCCCATCATTGTTCCTAATATAAATCCTCAACTTGTCGTTAGTCCCAATTAGTTGGGACGAAAACAAAGGGCAAGAAGAAAAACGTATCGCTCACTTAATCTTCGGATTATCGTTTTTTTTTTTTTTTGAATTTTGTAACGATTGTTTTCACTCTAAAATCAAAATCAACCGAGTTCTGTGTCGTCCTCGTATATAGACGTGTTTTCATCACTGAAAATCGCTGGTATCACAGCCCTCTTATAATCCCGGGGCGGCGAACGCGATGAAGAATAAGAATAAATTAGAACGTCTCATAATTGCCGCCGGCTGTTGGCTGCTTTAAATATTATTATTATTATTCATCGATGATCGTGACCGTTCGAATGATTTGTAATAATTTTTTATTATACTATAATAATAACGTTGTTCGTACGCGAAAGACGACGCGGCCGTGCGGAGGCGACCGGTTACCAATTACCGGTTAGGTGCGATGACCGCCGCCGCGCATCCTCGTCGCCTATAACCTAACGATTTGGATTGCGGGTGGTACCCCGAGAGTTGGTCAGTAGACACAGGGCGCACGTAAGATGCGGGTGACCAGTGGCTTGGCTAAAAACTCAGAAGAAATCACGAGGAAATCAAGAAATCTGAATTGTTAGAATATTTGTGAACCCGCGTGGAAAAATAAAAAGCGAAAAAAAAAAGTAATATATTTTTTATTTGGTGACTGAATTCGTTTTAACTTATCACAAGCAGTGTTTTTTTTTTTTTTATATATAAAAGATTTCGGTACCTACGTCTCAAGTTGCCGAAATGTCGATTTTCCGTATGCATAACGCATTCTGACTGCCTCGAAAAAGCGTTTTGGAATCAAAAACAATTAAATTAATGGATACAGTGGTGGTACAAACAATCGCGGGACGCTATGATTTTCTCAACCTACCTATCCCCAAAATGGATTATTAATTCGTCCATCCAAAAGTCATCTAAAATCTGGTGACAACTGGAAAAATAACAACTGCCCAGTTCGAAAGATGTCGACCAGCAGCTAACGAATTTTTGTCCGGCACAATCGCTCCCAAAAGTATCGGTCGTGCCGCCACCAAATGGATAAGTTTTCAATGTTGTTCGATTTCGACCAATTTTCGATTGATTTTCCTAAAAACGATTTTCGATGTATTCGAGAATACAGCTAATATTGGCCTGTTATAGGTCTTAAAAATAGTACTATTGTCGAGATTGTTTGGAAATATTAGACATTTCGTTTGTTTGTCCGTTTAACGTCTTGCGTTCGTTTTTTTTTCGAATTCTGCCTTTTTAATTTGTTTAGGTAGTATTAGGTTAGTTCGCATCGCGGATTACGATTACGACAACATTCAGAATCGATAATTCTATTTAAATATTGTTCTATATTCCGTTCGTTTAATATTTTTAACGCCATTATAATAGCCGAAAAAAACTGGTCCGTTAAACGGCAATTACAGATAAAAAAAAAAAAAAAAGAAAAAAGAAAAAAGTCCAAGTGAAACTATCGGCTCGTCCGTCGACTCTCCGCCGCGTGAGTGTGCTCGCGGCGGAGTGCAAGAGGGGCGTCCGGAACGTTTTCCCGTGGCACACGAGTTTACGCCGCCCGCGACCGACCCGTCAGTGCTCTCGCGGTTATCGTACGTTAGCGTTCTCCGTGTCGCGCCCGCGCGCGAGACCGACCGAATCGTTTACAATTGATAACGACACACATACACACACACACACACACACACACACACACGCACGCACGCATACGACACATAGCATACACACGCACACGCGTAAATATCGCGCAACGCACACCGGTTATAAATCGCGTATTTTCGTCCGGTCGCGAGTGCGACTCGCAGAACAAAAAAACAAACACACCGTCCGTCGTCGTCTCGTCACGGCGGCGTCCACGACGAGACGCGCCGTCGTCACACACGCGCATCGCACGCAGCAGCCCCCGGTCGCAGTCATGGAAAACAAAAAACCGAAAGAGAAAAGAAGGTAAAAGTTCTGATAATAATGTTGTTGTTATTATTTTGCCACGATAATGGTACGTTTGTACCGGCGTTCAGGCGGGCGCGCGATCCGACGGGAACATAATGAGGTCACCGTCGAATCGGCCGCGTTCGATTGTCAAACCGTATTATCGCCGTTATTATTATCAATATTATATTGTCGTCGTCGTCGTCGACAGCCCGCGTTTGGACGCAGTGTAATCGTCGTCCCGCGTCCGCGGATATTAAAACGTTATTGCGTACCCACGTTATTGTATTATCGTCACATATGATATTATTGTTAGTGTTGTTAAATATCACATCGCGGGGCCACGTCGTGGCAGGCCTTTTCGGGCCGTCAACCCGCCGGCGCGCCGGCCGTGGACCGGCGTTACGCGAACGGCCACCCCCCGCCCACCCTCCCTCCCCGCAAACCTTCGGCCGGCCGAAGTTTTCGACGCAATTATCACATTAATTATTTATTATTTATTTATTATCATCATTTGGTGTTTAAACATAAATTAACGCCGCGGAACCGCAAACGCGGCGCGCCGTCGGCCGTTCGCGGAGCATTTACCCGAACGTTAAAACCGTTTTTGTCGGCGCGTTTATTCCAGAGTTTTATTCGCGACCACACTCGTGTGGTTACCGCGTCGGCTCCCGGGAGGATACGTTTTGTTTTCGTTCGTGTGTCGCACCCACCGTCTTTGACGTACTGTGATAGTATCGCCGGGACGGCCGCCGAGGCGCGTACGAACGTAGGTGTACACGTGAAATAATAATTATTACGCGCGGTTGGGTAGAAAGTAGTCAGTTTCATAAAACTTCCGTGATACTCGCGCCTGCCTACGTATTTTTCGGTATCGGTCGTCTCGCGGGCAAATCGCGGTGTTCACCGTAAATACGTCTTGCGAGTCGCATGTAATTACAATGTCGTTCGTATCGTCGGTGCCTACTCCAATGCTATTGCCGACAAAACAGTTATTACGAAACTATTAAGAGACGACTGTAAGAATACGCGTTTGTTTCCGAGCGTACTATTAGAAGCCCGTATACACCTCTAAATATCATATTATTTTCCGTCGGTGTAGTATTGTTGATAACGCGTAGACGTCATATTATTCCGACCGTCGTAATCATTATCAGCGTATTTTGAATGTTCAAACGAATTGACCGGAGGTTTTCGCCCGGAGCTACGTTGGCATGTTTATAACAGCGAAAAAACGATTTGGGTAAATCGGTATTTATACCTATCGTGGTGATCAACAAAATAATTAGACTAATATAATAGCACCTCGGGTAACACCTATACTAATGTGCTTTGACAATCGGTATCGTCGGTTCATCGGTTGTGAATATTTTTGAATTTCAATAATAAAATTTGGATTTTAGATAAAATCTCAAGTAGATACCGAGTATATTACCTGTACTTTATCTACTTGGGCAGATATTTGTATCCCGAATCGCAAAATAATTGTTTGAGATTTATAAAACATCAGCAGGTTAACTGTTTTAACATTAGCTCATTTATTAACAATATGTTATTAAATCATTTTTTTTTTAAACAATATTTTAATAGTATGAGTACATATCATACGTATTCTTGGCTATATAAAACGGTCATGTATAGATTTTTTTGACTCTTTTGCTTAGAAAATTCTTTACTTTTCTTTAGTGTGTTCGAACCTTGGATATTGTCTACCAATTTATATATATTAAATATAATAAATAATACAACTAAACAAAATTAAATTATTGAATCTGTACAGAACAACTTTTTACGTTTAAGTCTTTTAAATGTAAAATAAACAAGTCAGTGCATGGTTCATATGATAATCCAAATTTTTCCATAAATTAATTTCTGACTTTATAGATTGTCCAGAACTACCTTGTTTAAGCAATTTTAAAATTAATTCCTCTAATACTAGAAATCTTGAGCTTTTTATTCTAATAAAAAATATATGTTAAATTGTTCTGCTAATCTATTAATGATTGCAGATAATAGTTATACCTATGATTTTAACTAGTTAATGTTTTAGTTAAGTTAAGTCAATATTATGTACCACGCTTATTATTACCAATTGTAATATTTTACTGCTGTATATTAATCGTTTTGTAAAAGGACACCGTCCATTTAAAATTATAAATAAATAAATCAGTTCATGTAAGTACATCATTTTTGCAAGAGGTGCAAATACCCATATATAAATACCCATCAATAAAACCCAGTAACAATTCTTTGAAATCTTAAAAAAAGAACCAGTTGCTTTAAAATAATTAAATTGTGCTGTATATTTTATAATTCCAAACAGTCTAAAGATCGTTTAATGTTAGGTTTTAATTTAATAATTCTTTAAATTCTTCAATTACACACTTCATCATAGTTATTTTTAGCAGCGATATGTTCTACAAAATAAATACCATGCGAATTGAATTTACTCGTTTTTGTACCATACCTACTCCTTAATTTTGTTTTTACAATAGTTAATCTACAAATTTGAACAGAAGCAACTTGTGTCTTCTATGGGCACGACAGTTTAAGGCACTTTAAATATATTTGGGAAATTATCATATTATGGTAATTTTTGTAGCCAGCTATGCACTGTTTTTGCTGTGGATATGTAATATTATTACACATTATTATATGAAATGAACCAATTAATAATTTTACTAAACGTATTTCAGCATTTAATTCATCTTAATTTGATAACAATAAGTGATTCCCAGGGCTTGGGACTTTTATTACTTAAAATCCCTGATAAAAAAAGCCCTGATAAAAGCACTCAAAAAGTATTTAAAAAAGCAAAAATGTGTGAGGGGTTTAAAAATTTCCTTCTAACAGGTCTAACTCTCAGTCTAGTTTATAAAATAATATTTGTTAATACTACAAATATGATTTTGTTTTTAAAACACTTATAATTTTAATCAAAAGCAACTACTTTGGTTTAATCATTTTTTTAGTATTAGAAATTTGTATCTAATAAGTTAGAACCATTAAAGGGAGAGGACTTTTAAACTTCTCTATGATTTTTGTACTTTTAATTATTTTTAAGTGCTAAAAAAGCACTAGTGATAACACATGTAATATCGCACATATAGAACAAAATTATTATTAAACTTTTTTAGTTTTTGCTATTAATATAATTAACTATAACACGATTCGCATCTGCAAACTCTGCATATCTGCATGCTTATACCCCTGCCTATACCTGCCTATATCTGTTTTATTTATTACGTTAAGAATTCAATGAAAATATAACCTAGGATACCGTAAGTAGGTTGAAATCCTTTTATATTATAGACAGTTATTTTTTTATAATCTCTACCTCGGAATCAATTTACTTATCTTTCTCTAAACACTATGTCTTGTCACTGGTGTTGATGTCAAATGTACCAATCCTGTAATGTCTATGGTTCCTGTAGTGTCTTGTAAATTGTAATTTGTATACAAAGTATGACATAATGCTTTGGAGGATATAGATGTCTTAGACCTTCTTATAGTTCTCTTGCCTAAAAATTTTCTTCCTTTCATTCTATGATGATTGGTGGCATTTATAAATTCGTTATGTCGTATCAGGTGTTCAAATAATTTTGTTTTTCTAGAATTTATTTTTGTTGTTTGTATGATCTCTCTATTTTTATTTACTGCATCTAGTATTTGTTAATTCGTCTTTCAGGCCGTATAATTTATTTTTGTAATTCTCCTAAAAAAACCATATTTTTGATGCAATTAGTCTGTTACTCTTTTGCTTACTTAGGGTGCACGCTTTACACCTTTAAATCAAGATGCGCCATACGAATGTCTTTGAAAACCACGCTAAGAACCTTTTCATCGTAGTTATTGATAGGTTTTGATTTACAAGTAGATTCCGTTTTTTTAGAAAGACTAGTTTAACAAGCGCTATTATTTTCTTTACGTCTTCGACATTTTTTGGTATTTATAATTTGACTACCCAAATAGTAGCATTTTTGAGTTTAAAGCTCTATTAAAAGGTTGTTTATTGTTTCTGTGTCGTTCTTATCTACAATCATCGATTTAGTCTTGCTTAGGGCTTAGCTGATGTTTTATGACTTAAGCATTTGATTCATATATTTTTTAAATTTTTTTTTAGTTCTCTAACATTAACAATGCTGTTTACGAAATGATTTTAATAGATACCTATATTGACTATTTACTATTACTTCTTTACTGTTGATTTTCGTCCGTTTTGTAGCTTCTTCTATGAATAGCCTATTTAATCAGATCTTTAACATCTAAAAGGTTATAGGTATTAAATATGTCAAAGTATTTTTTCAGCTTACATTATATTTTAATAATGTTCTCAATATTTGAAAAAAATACGGCTAATTTTGGGTTCATTTTAGCACCGTGGAATAGTTTTATAATGCATGTATAAATAATATTTGTTTTTGTTTTTTAAGTTCGAGCAGAATGACAGAGTGTAGTATAGGTGTATCAGTAATACTTTTAAACGTTAATTTGTTCTGTTAACTTCGATAATTCTTGCACGCGTACACGTTTAAATGAATTAAAGATTGCCTGGTGTTGTTTAAAAGTTAAAAGATAAGTATGTTACATTTAAATTGATACATTAGTTTTATATCTCACACGTCGTCGTTTAGGTACTACTTTATATAATCACATTTTGAAAAAGCTCGAGAATTATTTATTGTATACTATTGTACATAATAGTAGATATTAGGTATCTATAACAATTATTCATTTATAAATAACAATTTAAATTATGGCTTAGGTACTTATTATTATATACCTACCTAATATACTTAGTTTATTTTAGTACCTATCATTAAGTTACTCGGGTATAATAAATAAATATGAGACTTGGTTTTAACATTTCGTTTTGTTAAATACGAATTATTAGACTATACGTACATATATTATCATATGTGAACTATCCATGGATCCACGGAGATTAAATTTATCGTGACGTTTTAATCTCTAATATTAATTAGATGTCTCGATTAAAACCGTGGACGTGAAATGGGTTACACTAGTGTTAACCTAACGTTAGGACCTAACCAATGCGAATGATTCAATTTGCAGGTTATCAAAATTTCGATTTTGGGCCAAAACCAGACAAAGCAGTTTCATATCATGCTTATTCTATGCTTTGGTACCTAGCATCAAATTACGAGCATCTAGTATTAAAGGAATGTAACAACCAAAAATTATATTTTGATTATTAACTTATAATATTCAACTTTTAAAGTAGTTTTTAGTAATAGAACGACATATTTCCAGTGATACTGTGATACTGAATAGATATAATTTATTACATTAAACGTATCAACAACAATAAAAAATTATTAATATTAAACAAGCGTGTTATATCTCTTGACTAATATTAATATACCTGTCTACTAATGTTGTGCTCCTAGTAATTTGAGTACCTACCTATATAGACAGATTTATGGACTTACTTTTTACAAACATCCGATTGATAATCTCAATAGTTATAAAATATGGGAACAATGGTTTTATTAATTCTCGGTCGAATCTGGTTAATAAAACGTGACATAAGAAAATATATCTAAGGAATAAAAACGGTTTTATTTGAAAATTATTGTTTGATAAACATAAAAAAAAAATTATTACCAGAGCTTCGTCACTAAGAATCGAATTTTCTTCCGCCTATTTTCTATAATAGATGTATGTATTACCTATATAATAATGTACCTATTCTTTGCGAAACAATAATACAGCAAGTAATGTATACTTTAATAATTATAAAAAAAAAAAAATAAAAATGGTAAAATTTTATCAAAAAAGTGGGGTTTGAACGAGAGTTAAAAGTTAAAACCTCCAAAAGCCAATATTATTAAACGTCACCCTAAACTTCAAATAGCTCTTATTCGGTAAATTTTGGATTTAGAATACGAGATGATAGGTTAAGTGGCTTAAAAAAAAATTCTATAAATTCGAATATGGTTTAAATGTAGGGGTTCTCATAAAAAAAAAAAAAAATTATCGCCTATATGGTAGCGCCAAATAGTCCTACATCCTAGTATTAGATATCGTATCCTCAAGAATTTCGATTTTTATTAGGCATATTACATGTATTACATGATGTTAATTTAAAACTACTAATTTGCAATCATTACCAGTCTATATATAATATTATACTTACCGCATTAAATTAAGTTCTAAGATAATGCACCTAACATAAATTTAAACGTATGAGTGTTTACTGTTTACCGAGATCTTCACAAAGAACGACTATTTAAAAAACAAAAAAAGACTTTGCTGTTTACCTATATATTATAAATAAGAAAAAAGAAAGAAAAAAAATTTAACTAGGTATAAGTGTGTGTATTATGTATCATATATTTTTTATCGTAATAGGCACCCTGCGCTTATAGAAAATCGTTCCTACACTTAAAATTTTATGACCTCTATAGGTACCTATTTACTAAAATCCAAATAAGCGTGTAGTACATTTTTATTTATGGAAATCGACAGTTTTTACTAATAAAATTATAACAATACGATAAACTGTATTATTATTATTTCTTGCTCTTGTAAATATAAAAATGAAACAAATTATTAAGTTTTTATTATACAAAGAATTTTATCGAACATACGGTAGCGTATCTTATTGATATAAATTTATTTGATATAATTTCCGTTTTTAAAGATAAATTCAGATAAATATACTTAATATTATGTAAAAGTGAAATGAAAGTTGGGCACTTATTAAAAATAAAAATTAATACATTAAATTACCGAACATATGAAATTTTGTAATTTTATCACTAAACTATAATTGCAACAACTGGATAATACAGGTATCGAAGTATAACAATGGCTATATTTTATGAAATATAATTATTATTGTAGCCTGTTCGATATTAGATAAATTTAAAATTTGTAAAACTAAATTAAATTATTAAAAAAAGCAGTGTTTTTTTTTTTTCTAATTTCAAGAAATTAAATGATTTCAAACTATAAATATAATTTTTCTCAGTATTTTCTGATTATTCCTAGATACAAACTTTATTACTCATCTTTTCTATATATAGCACTGTTAAATTAAAATAGACAGAATTAGTCGCCTTTTGTCAATTATATACCGGCATTCTAATCCAAATGTGTTTTTTAAAAATTATTTATGATTATATTTCATTAATATACAAATGTTTGATGCAATTACTTTATGTTTTCCGAGCAATTTTTTTACTAGTTATTTATTTTTTTCACCCTTCAAAATTTTATTTAATAATAACTAATAGATATTTACCTACCTAATATTATATTAATAGTTGTTTATACAATTTATTTAAAGAAATCCCACATATATTTTTTTGCATATTATAGTATGCACATTACACATGTTCTTGAGTTTATTCCGTCAACAAAAATATAGGTAGGTTTTTTTTTCTAAGTAGCTAGGTATAATCATGACATTATGCAGAATCTTTAAATTGTGTTTATTGTAAAATGTCACAAAGAAAATTAACTATCAAGTTTAAGTATACAATACGAATATAATAATATATTATTGTATTCGATAAAATTAAAAGTCATAATTATTATTATAGTAGATCTTTTAACAATAAAACAATTTTAGCAAAATATCAACAGCGCATCGTCGGTTTACTAGCAAAATGTTATAAAGTAAAAATTCTGACTTTTTTTTTTAAAATATTTTGTAAATAAATGTGACGTCAGCTACAGTTTTTGATTTTCCTGTCATATAGCTTTGTTATGCTGGCCCGCTGATTTATTGATTTTCTGTAGAATTGTAACTGTTGCAAGATGCGTTCGAATTGCCCGTGATATTCTAATAAACTGACATAATATTTTAAGCTTCATATATTTTTGGATATTTTTATTTCACCGATTAAATTATTTATGCTTTACGTTTTAATCTACTGCTTTCGTTTTTTTTAGCTGTGTGGCGAAATATGTATGTTTAATTTTTAAAATCAACGAATCACAATAAAAAAGCTATTTTTATTTGTCATCACTTATTTGAATTAAAAAAATCCCTCATATTTTATGAAATATTGATAAAAATAAATTCTTATGACTAAATGTTTGACAAATTAACTAATGTGATGTGGAAGGACTAAAATTTTAAGTGGCTTATCTTCAAATCCCCTTTAATATCCGTCTATGATAAGTATTTAAACTGATTTTTCAGTTTAGATTTTTTTTTGTCGTAACGATTTTGTGTCTATTTAATAATATTTTTGAAACATTATTACATTAATTAAGTTAATAATATCAAAATTGTTTTTTCTAAAACTCTATTATTATTATTATTCATCATTACTATTGAATGTATAATAATACAACACGTAGTTGTATCGCGCGATGCCAGTGAGACGAACTAAATAATATCCAAGAGATTACTCCCAGACGTCTGTCTCTTTACCCTTTTCGTTTTGTTGTTAACATATTATTAATATTGTACCTACCCGTAGTAATTCATATGGTCCATTCGAAATAATAATACTAGCAAGTTACCACGAACGTATATCCACTGTAGATCTTTCTTCGTGGACGACAATTAATGGTATTAATGAATATCTCGTCATCTCCCACACTTCCTTTAGCTATCGGCACAATTAAAATTGGATATTATTATGCAAACCGAAAAACGTGTTATTTATAGAACTCCTGTAAATTTGTATTATTATTATTTTTATTATTAATTTATGAAGTTTAGTGATTGAACCTTATCATTGTATAACGGCATTAACAAAACATTATGTTTTGCCGGTATCTATAATAATTAGGAATAGGCCTCTATCACTTTTTACCGATACCACCGATACCAAGTATCGGTTTTTGTATCGACTCACCCTTAATAATAATATTATATCGACGCTTGGCAAACATAATAATTATATGCTTTTAACGGTTTTAGTTTATACAGGTAATAATGCAATATGCATTATTTATCGATCACATCTAACCGCACTAAAAGTATTGTTATTAAATCGTATCGTGTGATTTTCGATAAAGTTTGATAGTGTAGTAACCGCTATGGTTTAAACCGCGGTACCTTGCCAGATTGCATATAAGTATTCCATACATGAGCTTGGCACCTGTATTAAAATTTAAAATCAAGCTCTACAATTGGTTTATTTGAATATACCACCAAATATTCTGTATAGGTAATCAATAATATTGTTATCACATGAATATACCGCCAAATATTTTATATAATACATATAGTACATATTAGAATTATTTGAATGAAATGTATATAGCTTAAAAATAATCCTCGATTTATTCTGCAAAACCATGTCGGGTCAGTAATAGGGAAAAGTGAAAAACCATTTTGGGTCTTATTAACTGAAAAGTTTAACTTTAAAAATATTTTTGGGGCACCTTGCAAATTTTTTCAACGTTCAATTTGACACCTTATATTTAAGAGACCAGGAAAAAAAAAATTAAAATCAATATTTATTAAGTTTGAAATGTTGCTACCAGCTGATAGAAATAGTTTCACCTGTGGTAATATATCTAGTATATTATTATAGTATTAATGTTAGTGTTAGAAGAAGTTTTCGGTTAATGACTATATTAATGAGAAAACATATCCACTTTAAATAGTTTTTACTTTATGAAATGCACAATTTCATCAAGCAGATGCGACATTTTATTTATTTCAGTCGAGTTACAAGGAAAAACTTTATTTATTAATTTAAAATTAGCTTTTGGATCCGATTTTTAAATTTCCATTGTCGAATTGGATAATGAAGAATATTATACGATTTATTAATGATTATTATTATTATTCACTACATCCCCTCCCATTCCTGGGAACGTCACTGTGTATGATAGTATAGAAGCACCAAGCACAAGTATGTTTTGAATGTAATATGAATGTTATACAGTAGTGTATTATTATATACGACACAATAATAATCTAATATATTACCACTGATAAGTTATAATTATTGAAACCCGGAAATGTATGCCATTGCGTCTTAAATAAAATAAATTGCTGCTGGATCGTTTACAAACCAGTTTTAATAAATTCAATATTTTACAGTGTTACTATATCTATATTAAGTGTTGCATATTTCATTCATATTTGCATGCAAATTGTAACACAAAAGTGCTTCAACTTATAAACTAAACTTTTACTACATTGGTTCAAATTTATATTGTGCACGAATCTTTGAATCTTAGTGTACCTACCTATATTTAAATAATTGGCTTTTAAAACATTTCGGTTTGTCAGTAATATACTGATATTAAGTATACGTTTTATTTTTGGTATTTATAAATTTTTATACCATGTAATAATAATGCAACTTATTTTTTTTTATCAGCTATTGTTGGTGAAAATAGTAATCGCACAAACGGTAGGTATATTATATTTTGTAAGCATTGCATATTTGCATGGATTATTATTATATTGCATGATGATTATTTAAAAAAAAAAAAAAAAAGGTGAAGAAGTGTAAATAATAATAACAACTGATAGTTTATTTTGAAGAATTAAAAACAGTAAAAATGACATTTGTTTTTATACAAAGTTTTATGAAAATAAAAGAATAACTGTAAGAGTTTATTCAAACGTTGTAGATGAGACATTTTTTTTTAAAAAAGTCTCGGTGAATTAACACATTTTGTATCTATTGTTGTCGACTAACTAGTTTAATACATATTTCATCTGTATTTATAGTGCGTTAGACAAATATTAAATTAATACAATAATTATTATTCTTCATGTTTACTTATGCATTAAATATGTAATTAAATAATAAGTTTAACTTTATATGGTTTGAAACAATTACTGTATGGTTAAACAATTAAAACCGATAGTATTATCCATAATGTACATAATATATTATATTATATTATAACTACTATTTAGTATCTTCCTTTTTACTTTTAGTTATAGTAGTAGTAGTACTTTAAATTTACTTTTATAGTTAAAATCTTTATGGCGAACGCTATTTTACAATATGAATTTTAATTAAACCAAGCGTTTTAATCAAAACTGTATGTCGTTGTTAACGAGTCTATAATATTCGTCCCGAAAAATACTTGTTCCAACCAATTTTTAAAACTTTTGGTTAACATTGAAACAATCATTATGAAGTATAAAATTTGCGCATTGATTTATACGTAAATAGACTGAAATGTAAATGATATGAAACGATTCAACTGATCATAATTATTGTACGGTAATCGTACTCATCTGATAAAAGTTGACTGTAACGATCAATACTTTTTTTTTTTTTTTTTAGAAAATAATACGTACAGCTTACGAAAATATTCTCCTTTTTAAATTGTGTTATTTTGTGTTCAACCTATACGCCAAGATTTACGTTCCAAGTATAAGAGAAAACGCGTTATAGAGAGACAGAGGGATGTATCTCGCTTTTTTTATTATATATATGTTAACTGACGAGTTTCAGACAGCCATCACTGATCTTGATTATCTGGAGGTCAAATAATTTCCGAAATCAACATAATATTAAATTAAGTATCAGCTTTAGTTCTTAAATTACCACTATAATCTTTATGGTTTTCACTGAAAAACACGATATTCCTATTCGTGAGCGTGTTGAAATAATATATTTTACATGTTTAATTACATTATCAAATTGTTACCAATTAATGCTATCGTTTAACCGATCAGTATAATATTGTAATGGCTAAAATACGAAATGCAGATGAAAAAATCCACTCTTTGTAGTTTTGGTTTTTGACGAGTCTAAATAGAAATCATTATATTAGACAGCCTTGTCAATTTAACCTCGGCATAAATTTTAATTTGTTTTTTGAATTTATAAACAATTTCATTATTCGTTATTTTGTATTTTATATACGAATAAATTAGAATAATTTTTGTTTTTTCTCCGTCCAATTTGTTAAAAAAAAAAAAATTATCATTCGTTGTTATAATATCTATTCATTGTTAGTATAATATTATATTATAGTATATAGTAAATTATAATATTATCGCGTGTATATAACATAATATTTTAAAACACGCGTGCGTTATGCATTTTGGTTTTTCATTGTCGTTAAAAAATAATGAATATTGGTAATAATATGTAGGTATATGTATATAAACTAACATCTCCATTGTGTTATGATAATATTGTACGTACGTCATGGTGTCTCTTCGTTTATGATGGCGGGGGAGGGGGGGTTCCGTCAATATACCTAACTTTGTAACTTTTTTTTGCCACCATCTGTCATAGTAAATATTATTATTGCTGCAGTTGTTGTTTCTGTGGTTTCTTTTCATTTCAATATTTCGTTAAATCAGCTTTCGTATACGGCAACTGAACATTTTGGGCGTCACTCGATTGTGCGCGAGTGATGAGAGTAGGTATTTAGTGCCGTTTGACGATGATGGGTCAGAAGTTTATCCAGAAGTTTATCATTATTCAGCCTAGTACGTATATCATAAAATTATACATGTACGACGATTGAACGCGAAAATGGTTGCGACGTTGTCATCGTTTGTCAATACGCAGTCCTGTGTACATTATACAATATCACAAAGCCTACAATTTTTTTTTCCTGTGAACACTCACATGACTCATCAAAAATTTTACATAATTTTGAATCTGTAATAAAGCCATTTGAAGTATTTCTATTTGGTTGTGTGCATATATAAGCCCTAATAAATATAATACAAACAAATTACAGATAATTATTCCGTATTCGCTCAAATCGATGCCTATGGTAAAAAATGTACTCTGACAATGTTGTGCATAATGTTTTTAATAAAAAATCGAAATTAATGGCTGATACTGTTGATGTATCACTGTTTTATGAGAGAAGTCGGAAGGGAGGATATAATATAAGACAATTTAATTTATATCTGTACGCAACGGTAAACTATTGATAAAGAAAAACTATTTTGAGCAGAATATTATTAGTCCTTTTTTCCCCCCTTTATTGCCAAAGTAACACAGAAATAAAAAAAAAATGTTTACAAAATATAGCCAGTTAATCCACTTTTTTAAGAAAAAACTCCAAGGAAAATGAAAAAAAAAAAACAATAAAAAAAACAATCATAGGCACTCATATTATAACGATAATTCGCTCCATTCAAATTCGAAAAAATCAATAACTTAGACCAATATTGAATAATGTGTTGATATACATTTTACCCGATTTTTCTGGTACAATAGAATCTTACCAGTTATTTTTACAATCATTTAGAATACATCATCAACAGTATATTTCAACAATAGTTTTTTTTTAATAATATTCTCTGTGATGAATTATTGTATGATAATAAATATTATTTCCGGGCTAATAGATTATTAATAATTAAATATATATATATATAAAAAAAAAAAATTAGAAATCGATAAGAAAAAAATATTTGCACCATCTCATAATAGCAACTTAAAATTATGATAATAAATTAATAAATACCAAACCGTTAAGTAAAGAAGTAGCATTTTATATGACTATGAAAAATATAAAATAACATAATATAATATATCGTATAAACTAACATAAATGTATTATAGGGGCAAATGTTACTTCTTTTCGGTTGATCAGAAACATATTAACCTCAAAAATAAGTATTAGCTATTCAAATTTTAATTTTGTATATATAAATCGATAAGAAACTAAATTCGAACGAATAACTGACTCTGGACCATGGTAGATACGGTTATCGAATTTTCTAATTTAAAATGTGAGATACCCGACGTGACTTTTGCCTTTTATCCCTATTTTTATTTATACCCAATGTGGTATTAGAATATACTTAAGTTCTTAGGTTGATCAATTAGGATTAGGACAATTAACTTCTTTGGAAGAATGTCAGATTTGAAGTTTGGACAAGATTTTTTATGTATTCGAAGTTCGTGTGCCTGGATCTCGAATATTCGACCGGTTTTTTAAATTTATTTTTTATCCGAGTAGAGAAATGAGTATCTCGTATTATAATGAGCTGTATCGTTACAAAATATCTATAGGGACGAACTCTGGTGAAAGAGAGTGTTTTATTTATAGGTATATCGGTACAAAATATTTGTATAAATGGTTTTATTGTTTTTATTTTTTAGTTATAGTTTTTTTTTCAGTCGTGTTACTTATCCACGTACGACTGAAATTAAAATGTATGCGTATTTACATGTAGCACGGTAATTCGAATCGTGTGAAATTATGCGATGTTATTATTACTTGTACCTATACTTAATTAGTAATTATTATGTGCGTATACCGGGCGTTAAAAGTTATAACCTAGGATTTTGGCTTTACATATTATTGTTTACTGTGGGTAATAAATTATATTTATTTACGCATTAGCGATTTTTAATTAAAATTAAAAAGATATCTTCTTATAAATAATTTTATTCGTTCAGTTAATTTCTTTACGGTGTCATAAGCGGCCAGCGCTTGAAAATAGAGACATGCAAATTTTTTATGTTAGAAAAAAAATAGTTGTATACTCGATTTTTATACACGGTTTCATTTGCACGTGGGCCACGCAAAAATTAGCGACGACACTGGTATCGTAAATTACAATTTAGGTACCCTGTATTATGCATTTATACGGTACCCAATAACAATATACATATTATATAATATTAGAACATTAGAACCATATTTCAAATCGTTATTTATTTTTAGTTCAATATTAAAATAAACCAGTTCATTCCTAACGGGTTTAGTTTAGAGTAGGTATGCCTACGCCTTCGGTCAAGAAACTCCAGCTTCACTGTAATATATTATAAACATTATGTAAATTAACTTCGAAAGTATTTTTGTATTTAAATTTTATTTCATATTATAATTATTATTCTGTCGTGCGATGTGACTGTGTAAGTTCTATAAATAATATCAGTGAAATGCAAATCTGGTACTCTCGTTGTCTATCCAGCAAAAATTCATAAGTCGTTTTTTTCTGTAAACAAATTTTCTGCCCGACATTCTGCTCCACCCAATAGCTCTATAGGAACTTTTTTTTAAAATGTCTGATCTAATTGGTGCATCGGGGAGGGTTTTGATTTACCTTGTTAGTTTTTTTGCTGCTGCAGTTTAGTGAAATTTGTTAAGATAGACTTGTGAGTTATTGCTGGTAATCGATGATACATAGATTGTATTGTCAACGTGAACGGCCAATTTTGTTTTATTGGGTTATCATAAAAACAAACCACGCTATGCAATTATTTTAATTTGATATAAAATATTATATTTCTGATTTTATTAATATAGCAATGAAATCGATAATATTTTATGAGTTTTCGTTTTAGTTTGGGATGAGATAATAATATCAGTTATACAAAGAAATTATTTTTTTAGGATTTCTTTGATTTTTTTATTCGCCTTGTCAACCAATATATTTTTATAGGGAAAACCGGTATACTAATGAAAAGCAAAGGGATTAAAATATAATAATATGCATGTTATATTATTTTCATGATATTTAATCTTATACATAAAAATACCGAATTCGTTTTTATTTATAGCCTATTGGGAAAATATAATGTCCATATTTTATTATCTTTTTAACCAAACAAAATATATCACTTCCTTGAAAAATAAATGAAATTTTGATAAGCTAGACATTTATAGACATTTAATAAATTAATTAACAGAAATTGTTTATTTTATAATTTTTTGAACAATTCCGGCGTTTTACCATGCTTATTTATTATATTCAACTCCATTTACAAATTACACCTAACTGTTGTGCGGTAAAGTGTGTACACCTTGACAATGGTTTTAGATACATTTTGTAGATATATTGACTGATATAATATTATATAGATATACCTATATTGAGTTATAAAGAAATATTTATCGAATGTAAATTTGTATTTCAGATTTAAACTTTACGTCTAAAAAAAAAAAAAAAACTAGGTATAGTTTTATTCATTCCAATAAAAAATTATGATTCGGTATTACAACAATTGGAAATCGAAAACTGGTAAAATCCCAACAGTTAATTCTAAAAAATCCACATTTTAATTCAATTTTCAAGTGTACATTTTTCAATTATTTTAATTGTATTTTCGTATTTTTAAATAAATATTTAAGGGTATTAGCCAATAAGTTCCTAGCTCTTTAGTAAGAGCTAGGAAACAGGTACTAAAAAAAACTACTACTTTTGAAGTTTGTTTTATTTGTTGCTGTCAATATTTTTGTTAACGTAGTATAAATATTCGAATTAACATAATATATAAATATTATAGATATTGTACTTACAATATTTGTCTGAACAAAACGATTAAAAACAAACTTGTATTTCTTTAAAATACTATAGATTCCCGTTTTGTTATTCCAATTGTCTATTTTCTTCACTTTGAAATATGTTATTTTCGTAACAATAATAGACAAGAAATGAAAAAAATAATATTTGACAAATTCGAGGACAAATATTGTACAATAACTTACACAAATTACACATGTAGTATTATATCATAATAATATTATGCAAGTTGAGACTGGGATGTGAGTATGTGTTTGTATCGTTATTTTTTAGCTTTTCTACAAGTACATCAAATTCAGTTAATACGATTTATGTAACGATTTTCTTTACCCATAAGTTCATAAAAATGTCCTCAATCTATTAAAAAAGTCATGTTTAGATTGTTGTTATTTTTGTTTTAGACGTGTTTTAGTCAATGAACCGTAATCAACCTTGGCTAAATATTAGTTCAAAATTATTTTGAGTTAATTGTCAGCTGTTATCTTTGGGTTGTTTTTTAGAATACCTTAAATCACATATAAATGTAGAGCTAAAGAGCTTTGTTACAATAGAATGTAGTAAAGGAGTAATGGAGTAGAATACATTTGAGTAACAAAATTTAATTTAAATTATTTATTAAAAATAATATTAGTTTTTCTATATTTTTTTTTTTAGGTCCAATGTAAAGTGGGTTCATATTTTATTTTCCTTAGTGTTTTTTTTTTTCAATTATATTTATATCCATTTTGTACGTTTTTTTTTTTGAAATGTGTGTGGCTACATTTTGGTATGTAATCATTGTCTTGCCATATTCATTTGTTCATAATTATTGTATTTAATTTGTATAGGTAAAATCAGGAGAATTATTCAATCTTTATTCATGCGCCGAAACTATATCTACTATATACATCATACTGCACAGTACATAATATATATTATGTAAATAAATTAGATAGCCTACTCTGTATGAGTAAATTCTAAGCATGATAGCCACATTATACCGAAAGGGCAAATTTTATTGAGCAACCCATAAAATAATTTGCTTATACCATGAATTATGTGATAATATAAAAAAAAATTGAATTTAATTACAATAGATATTAAATATATTATTACGGATAAGCGATTGAAAACAAATTTGTATGTGACAATAGAATAAATACATAATATTGTGCAAGCAAGTAATAGTGATTTTAGTTTTATACATGTGTGTGAGTAAAAAGTATAGTATCTTTCTTCGTTATGTTGGTACGAACACGTTCCGTGTACATAGGAAAGCTGTTTCCATATGTTGAATATCTATGTTATTCAAAAAATATGGTTTAAATCACGGGGTTGCACTCTGCAATCCAGTCCATATAAAATTATGATTAGGTTATCGTCGCCATAGCAGAGAAATTCTGCCATGAGCGCCACATATGCGTGCGTCTAACAATATCGCAACAACCGATATCAACAATACGGAACATCCGAACATTCAAATTGAAATTTTATGAAAATTTAGATTTTTAAATTTTTTTATATTAATTTTAAATAAACTTAACATAACGGGACAAAGAAATTATTGCTTTTGCCATTAGGCATTATATTAATATGAGAATGCGGCAATTTTCTCAAAAATGCAATGCTGAAAACAAAAGAAAAAATATGACCACAAAATAAAAAGGTTTCTAAGTTTACATTAAGTTAGGTATTATTTATTTTTGTACATCGTACATACTACATAATTTTTTTTTTTAAGATTAAATGTACAAATATTTTTATTTTTATTTTACTACATGTACCTATTGTTATATTTGTACACAAATTAAGATATACTCTGGCGATGCTTTAGTATAAGTAAGTGTGGTTAACAACTTTTTCAAATAAAACTATTACTAATGAGAACAGTATTTTCTGATTTTATTTCACAATTTTAATTTCTGTTTTTTATAGTTTTGATTAAAAACAATTATTAATGCTTCGATACAATAGTCTGTGTTTTGTAGACATTTTTTCAACCTTATACCTACTAGTTTTATTTTCTAATTTATTAATACCCACATTTATTTTTTCATACCATGATTACATTAATAAAATAGTTCATTTTATCCTGGTCTGGATAAATTATTTTAGATATTAATAATTACACATTCAACTAATTATTAGATTACAATTATTAGATTATTATTACATTATTAGATTAGATACAATATATTTTGCTACATACTAAAAAAATAGACTGCTGTTTTTATTTTTAAGAAAGATGATTCTAATTATGAAGTCCATAATTTTTTGAATTTTGAATTTTATTTAATTTTAACAAGTATGTACAATATGCATATAATTGCAATATTTAATACTATATTTTATAATGAACCACCTTTAATGAAAATTTGTAATACATATTTAGTATAAATCATTATTACTTGATCTTAACAAAATAATTGCATCAGTCCACTACAATAATGTATTCAATATTATGATTTATGAAAGTATGACAATAATTATTGAATTATCCTTGCATTATCCTATTCTCGAATTTCAATTATTATAAATTATAATAATTACTTCTATTTTATTTGAATATGTGAAAATATATTAATTGTATAACTGTAATTTACTGTACAACATAATATAATTAATTATAAAATGCAGAATAACTTCAAGTTAGCAAATTTAGAATCATTACTTGTTGGTCTACGCTTCTATATTGGTCGCAGTAGGGTACATGCACAGTAGCGAACTTGGCGGATTATTATTAAAATGGCGACTATAAGCGAATCACACTGGTCGAGCAGCAGCTAGTTCTTAATAGTATATAATATTATGTTCATAGTTTCAATATTATTAGGAACACAATTCATAATTCATGGCGTAAACAAATATTCCATGGGTGAATCAATACAAATTGTCCGCTTGATTTCATACTATTTATTTGTTTTTTTTTTAAGTCTAACCATTTGTCTACTAGATATATTGCTCTGAATTTCAAGTGTAGCATCTTTCTGAAAGACAATTTTATCGAGTTGGTACATTGGGCAATCATTTTAATTCTTTTTGCAGATTTTTTTAATAATATTGGAAAACCGAGAAAAAACATAGGAAACACGGAAATAATGATTCCATTATTTACGATTTTTTTTTTAATTAGGTTAAAAATTATCGTAGAGACCTGAAATTTTCACAGAACACTTATATTAGTTTTTTCTAGACGTGGTAAAATGAGTTAATTAATGAGCATTTGACATTTTTTTTTTTTATTATGAATACTATATTGTGGCCTTCTTATTTTTAGTCCGAAATATGTTTGACATCAATACTTTATTGACATCACGTATCGAGATTTTACTAAATTGACATTCGAATATATTATTTAATAACTAAACAAGGATAGTGGGTGTAATAATATTATTGTATGTGATTTGGGAATATTTTCTGTTTTACTATACTACCTAAAAACTATTACAGAGTAGGATAATGACCTCGATGACGGTAATATTGTTATATAACTATAGATGTAATTAATTAATCATTATTTAATATTTAATAATGTAATATTACGTTTCTCGTTAAAAATATAATTTTCGTGAACAATAAATAAATGAGTAATAATATTATGTAAATATATATTATAATATTATGTAATATACTTTGGAAATAACTTATTTTAAAAATAGTTTTTCTCGGTGACGGTTGTCGTTTTAAAATATTTCACCCTTTATCATATTATTGTTATTATACTTTTACACGAAACGTCATTTAGTAAACATGGGAAAGTAGACGGAGTGGTGAATAAAGTGTTTTTTGGTTGTTTGGTTTTTTTTTTTTTACTTTAAAATAAGTTTTATCAATGGCTGTGTTTCAAGAAAAAATAACCGGTGATATTTATTGGCCCTCTCGATCACCTGTAGATTTATCAGCGTAATGTATGTGACTTTATTTCGGAGAGGTTAGGTAAGAAATTGAAGTCTACGCAACACTTAATGTATATTTATACAGATATCAATACGCCATCATCATGTATAATAGGTACTCGAGTTTTAATCCAATTTTTGATTTTATGTTACTAAAGGAAAAATATTAATTTTTTTTTTGGGAACATTGACATTACAAACGTACACTATCTGTATGCATTTTAAATAAGATATTAATTATCTGGTAAAAATGTAATCGTCGGGATTAAATATGGCAAAGTACCGTGTTCACTGTTCACATATAGTATATAGGTAGGTCATAGAAAGGGTCATAGGCGTATCGTTTGTTTTTATTATAAACCGTAATTATCGATCACGTACTCACGTATTCATTGCATTTAAAAGTTTTATTTCATTAAGTTTTGATTTATTAAATAAAATTTAGGCATAATATTGTATTTTATTCTCAGAAAACGGCGAAAAATTTAACTTTATTAAATGTATGTTTTATTTCATAACTGTTTTGGACTACAATCCTACATAATGTATAGAATTATTAATAATAGTGTATATACACATGTGCATTGGGTAATAAATCGTTCCAAAATATAAGCACTACTATACCTAAATACGTATAAAAACCTCCAAATCATAATTAGAGGTTTCTTTATTTCCAGCTGTAGTTGCCAACTTAATACTAATCTTTCCCTGAAAGATTATTTGTTTTTGTTTTTTTTTTTGTTATAATAATAAGGCGTATACAATAAATATATATATATATATATCTATATATATACTATTATTATTATACATAAAACAAGTATATTGGTATACAAATATCGTTCTGTTAAGAATATTGGTAGGTCGTATTTTGTTGTTTGAAATTTACAACCATGGTTATGATTCATAACTCATGAATATGTTACTCTCGTTACCTAGGTTATCTAGATTGATTTTTTTTCCCATTATTTTTCGTAATTGAAATATTAAGTTATTCGAAAATTTACTTTTTATAATTATCGTTGCATACAAATATACCTTAAATTTCCCCTCTTCTACCTTTCCAAATTCTCACCAACAATAGTGATTCATCCACGTGCGAAGTATGTCCGTGTTTTTTTTTTTTGAATATGTTAGATATGCATTTTTGTAATGCATTTAATGTCCCCTTGGTTTTGAAAAATAACGTAGATAGGTGGAGATCTAAGGTTTATCCCTCTCAAAACTTCTAACCAAACGCCCACTCAAATCAAGTATAAATTAAGAATACAAAATCAATATTATGAAAATCATCTTTGAAATATTGGGGCTTTTAGCTTCTAATATGATTTTGTGTAAGATTTATTGATTTCGCTGCCTTCCCTGCAGAGAGGATTTGCGCACGCTTACTACTATATCCCCTTTCATTCATATTGCCTAATTACACTCCCGAATTTTCACGCACTGTCGTGTTGATTTCGAATAGTTCAGAAAAAAATGATATATACCCGTATATCGGTCAATAATATTCGAATCATTTATTTAGACAAACGATTCTTTTTTTATTGTTATTAATATGACATTTAAATGTTAAAGTAATTTATTGTTGGCCAACCGACTAAAGCTAATTTGAAATAGTTCCAACGTTTCGGGACAACCAATTATTGTTAATAAACATGTGTTATTGTTAATATTAATATTCTTTCATATATTATTCGCAAGCGAAGATTTTTAACAGAAAGCGTACCAAAAATATGCTTTATATATCTACTTATATAAAATATAATACTTTAACTGATAAATTGTTATTCGCAATTGTATTACTGTAAATGTAATACATAATGTGCTCAAATATAATTATTATATTTCTATAATTTTTATCAAAATTATTAAAATAAATCTATGCACGTTACCTATGTATTTATATTATCTGTATTGGTTTTTTTTTAATATCTTATTAATTAATTTGTACGTGCCATCGTAATAAAAAAAAAAAACAAAAAATACAGGCCTATTTAAATAAAATATTAAAATATAATTAGAATATTTTTATGCGATAAATTTACTGGCATAAAATAAAAAAAAATACAATAATAATAAAATACGTACCTACCTATGTCAAAACATCTTATTTGTTATATGATAAAAAAAAATCTTCCTTCATGAAACGTAAATGACCTCTGATGATTTTTTAATATATGCACAATATTTCGTTATCTGAAAATAATCTAACCTGTATAATCTACTTTTTTTAAAATTAGGTTATACGCGTACACATCATATCCATTTCCTGGTTTTTTACAATCATTAAGTTTATGATTGGTATTATAGACTAATATTAATAACAACACGAGTAAGTACCTGATCGTATTATTAAATAATAATAATTGTTAATTTGGGTATTATGAATTAACGATTCCGTGAAAGTGTTATTATATATTTTGATCTGTCAAATTTTCGGAATTTGATGATAAAAATATCGATATCGAAACTGTATAATCAATAAAAGTCAGCTATTATTGCAGGTCAATTTGTTTTTAAATTTGGTATTATGAAACTTTTCATAAAAAAAATAAAATAATAATATTATCAAAGTACTTATATAGTATTATATGTACCATAAAATTAATAATTTACAATGAAACCAATTTTCCTATTGAATTAACTAAATTATACTAATATACACGTAAAGGAGATACTTAATTATTTTATCATTTTCGGTCAAACGATAATTGTTGGAGTTAAAATATATTAGTTTTTTTGTTTTTTAGTAAATTATATAACCACTGTAGTCTTCATACAGGGTTATCAAGTCTCAGTCTAAGGTATATACTTATTTATCACCACGAGAAGTTTTAACTGCCTTCTACCTTTAACTGCGAAATAATCAAATTTAAAAATAGTAATTTTTGTCTAATTTCGACCTAAAAAAAAAAAAAATTCAGATTGCTTTTTGAAAATTTAAAGTCGGTAAAGGTTTCACCATTCGAACAAAAGGGTGAAAATAATAAGGGTAGTATTTGTTACTGTACGTACTATTTAAGAACTGAATGCAGAATTGAACTCTATGCTCTTAAATAGTTTTACAATGAAAATTCCTAAAAACTATTAATATTCTATCTGAGATAATTGTAGTGTATCAGCGGAAAATGAATGACTCTGTACTAGTCTTTTGTGTGTTTTTTTTTTTACAGAAAAACTAAACTGTTTAAACATAATATATAGATATTGGTTCATATTAGTGATAAAATAATCACAATTTATATAAATAAAAATAATAATAAATATTATTTTATTTAATTTATTTAATACGAGCATGACCCAAAGTACAGTAAAACTTAATAAATAAACATGCAGATAATTCAGCGAAAGTAAAAGTCAGAACTAGGTAATGAGGTATTGGTGGTATTTATTAACCAGGTATTATTATAAGAACAAAGGGTGGGCGTTAGCAAGACGCATCATGCGGTGTATAGGATTGTTTAAACAATAATTAGTGGTGTGCAAAGGGATTGCAAAAGTAGTGGTAGAGGTGGTCAGACGTGGAGGGACTCGAAAGTTGATGAGAGAAAGGAGCGACAGTGCGTCCACAGAACCGCCGATGAGGTTACGGATACCTACCATATGGATATGATTAGAATCAAGTTAATAGTGGATCACCTAGTCTTACTCAGTACTTAGCGTAGAATGTTGTGATCGACTCCATCGAAAGCTTTTTTAAAGTCCATAAATAAAACGTCAACCTGGCACTTACTTTCAAAAGCTTCGAGAATAAAATTATTGAGGACTAACAAGTTCATCACAGCTGAGTGCCCTGGCCTAAAATCACACTGCTCATCAATAAGAATCTGAGTTAACTGAAGCCAGAATGTTGTTTTTGAGTACGATCTTTTAAAAAAAGCTTTGGAATATGATCTAGGATAGAAATTGGCCTGTAATTCCTGACATATGATTTATCCTCAGATTAAAAAATGAGGGTGATGGAACTTAGCTTTCAGATAAATGGAAATACCCCTTCATTTAATGAACATCTAAAGATTTGTCAGAGTAGGGCAGAAAGAAAATATTAAAGGTTTAAAAGGAAGGATCCTGGAAGAGCCCATCAGGTCCTGCAGAATTCACGTTTTTTAATTTATCAAAACCAGACTCTATATTAGAAATACTAAAAAGTAATTATTGGGCAGGTCATAACACTGGTGGGGAAGATTAGCTTTTCTCTTAGACGAGAAAACGGAGTAGACTGAGTTGAAGAACTTAGAAAATAAGTTAGAAATATCTCGTGGACCAGAACTAAAAAAATTATCTAAGTAGACCGTGTTAAAAATACTACTTTCAGATCTTTGCTTATAAACGAATTTCCAAAAATAGTTGGGGTTATTTTTTAATTCAGCCTCAGTATGGGCAATATAGTCTTTATGATATTTTTTGGATTAGAATTTATATTGGGCACGGAGATTGGAGAACTGTGTATAATGAACTGGATTATTAGACTTCTTGAAGAGAGCATGAGCTTTTAGCGAGTACAATTGATTTAAGTTTAACTGTAAACCAGGCAAGGCATTTAGGTTTCACATACTTTGACAAAGAGACGAAATGTAGAATACAGTAGTGACGTTGAATCGACGTCGAGTAGTCGAATAGTCTCGGCCCAGTTAAATGACTCCAAAAATCTAGTAATAATGTAAATGCTAAATAGTGTGTATTTTGAATATTTTTTTTTCTAATAAGAATATAATTCTGAATGAGTAAACCATAAAAACCACTGATTTACAATAATATTGGTGCTTTTGAAAATATTATCCATTAGTTAACGTCAATAGTTCAATACTACGAACAAAATATTGATCAAAAACTTTTTCGTACGTTTCTCTACAATATTCATTGCTTGAAATGTTTGGATGTAGACTTATTATACAGTGTGTCCCATTAAACTTCGATAAATGCAACAACTTTTATTGTGTATAATAATATTTTTTTTTTTATTTTTGGAATATTTACTAAAGCCTTGCGCTATTATTCCTCTAGTTTATTATTATTATTTTTTATTAAGAAAAAAAAAATTGTTTTTACAAAATTCACGAAAGTCATTTTATGAATACAATAGATATATGGGAACAAAATATTGACATTAAAAATATGTATGAATGATTTTTTGAAGTTTACAAAAATCATAAACAAAATTTGTTCTCACGAAAAAATTGGTGAATTCATTGATTCAAAATTATCAAAATATGAAGGTTACTATGAAGGTTTTTTGAAGGTTAATATTATAATTTAAATTTTTTTCATTGCCACTACTAAATAATTTTAATCAATTATTCACCAATTTTTCCATGAAAAGTTATTTTGTTAATGTTTTTTGTAAACTTCAAAATATTGTAGAAATTTAACAATTTATCATTAGTAAATATTTATACCACCAACATTTTGTTTTAAAATATATTTATAAAATAGCTATCTTGGAATTTGTAAAAAAAAAAATAAATATTTAAAACATTGAACAAAATAAAAGTTCTTGTATTTGTGGGACACCAGTATACTCCAGAGATCATTTTTGTTTTTAAAAATACTTATAATGTTATCTTATACGATAACCACGAATCTTTAGTTTTCACACCGTGTCTCAGTACTTGTATTTCAATAGTTCTATTTAGTTCAAGATCCCATCCGTTAAATGCAGTAATTGAAATTTAACTCCTATCCTATCAATATATGTTGCAATTTTGCACTCAGATTTAGTTCTGATGATAATGCAAATATGAAATACAATACATTATGAGAAAAAAACCAAATACGAAATAAAAGTTATATAAATAAAAACCGTTAGTAAAAAAAAATTAAATTGTTTAATATTATATATAACTTAAAACATAATATTATCAAATTTTCAATAATTATTTTAAAATTTGTATATTTTGCGAGAAATATAATAACAATTGCAACAGTCGAATATTGTTACTATATTATATAGTATTTATTTTAATATTACCTATGTCATAATAATATTAAAGAGCTTATAATAATTATATTATTATAGACAACGAATAATAATTAACGCTTATTAAAAGAAAATTTCTTTTTATTTCACAATATTACCTATATATGAATTGAATACATCATACAATCATTGAATACAATCATATTATGCTACACATCAGTATAGTATAAACGTCATTTGCATGTATAATTATTATAATAAGATAATATGTAAAAAAAAAAAAAAATCATTGAAAAACAAATCAAAACGTTTAACTGCAGAATTATCTACCAACAAACATATTATAGAAAAATAATTACAACAGTAAATATCTTAATATAGTTCTTATATATTTAGGCATGTGTATTCGGGCATACAGCTTTAAAATATTTGGCATTCTTGGTGCAGTTTTGACACCGGTTTTTGTTCGAATCGAAACACTATTACTTTTTTTTTTCTATTACCCGCATGTGCTATCTCCGTTATACAACCGCGTGACAGCAAATTTCGTTCAGCAGGGACAACTCTGTGTTTTTAGTTTTAATGTTAGAGTGAATTAATCCATTATCTAACTTAAAGATAAGAACATAATCTGTATCGTTTTTAAATTTTTAAGCTAGTAATTTTTGAATAAGTAATGTAAGGGACGTGATAGTCTCCTTCAGTACTCACTTAAGTTATACATAAAAAAAAGAACTTATATTACTGATAGGTATGTTACTGGTAAAGGTGGAAATTTAGGTGACAAGTAGCTACTCTTGAAATTTGGAGCAAGATTTCTGATGAAAAAATAAAATAAAATAATTCGAAATTAATGAAAATGTTATTGCCGTAAATTTGTCAGTTTTTCCTTTACGCATTTAGTCCATTTTCCCCAATTATTATTAGAAATACTTGAAAAATAAAAAATAAATCCATCTCAATACATTAATTAAATCCAAAATGCCACAAAAAAAGTTTCTTGTTCATTTTTGATTGACGAGCAAGATTTCTGGTTAAAAAGTTGATTATAGGCACAACAAAAATTAGCCTGTTTCATAGTAAATTCAGTACATTTCTCTCTTCACTCAAAATCTAAAATCTTTATGTTTTATCTTGTTATTATTTTAATTGTTTACATTGTAATCTAAATTAAGTAGTTATTTTATTGAACGAAACAGTATGGAGTGTTCTTTGACATACATGTTACTAACATTTGATTTTTTTTTGTCTTTAAAAACACTTAACATGATGCATCCAAAGTTTAATCAAAAACTTTATTGATATGGCATATAGAATTAAAACCATGTTTAAACTTTAAAGCTGCCAGTTTTCGAATTGTTAAGTATTGGGTATGTTGTGTCTTGTGTATATAACGGTTGATTAATATCTATTTGATATCTTTAATATTATTATGTCAATCAAAATGTATTCTGCTTCATGGAATTAAATTTGAAATAAATAAGGATTTTCATCAAAGATAAAATGTATACATATAGATGTATAGATGATCCTATAATGTTAAAAAAAAGTGTAAAATAATTTGTTATTTGTTAAAAATTTACCTGCCTATTACCTATTATACCTACGCTTTTTTTTTTTTTTTTTTTTTTTATAACAAAAAAATACCTATTTTAAAAAAAAATATATTAAAATAAAATGTTATACACATGCGTAAAGTGTTATTTGAAATAGAATTACCACATGGTGAGATATTATTATTATTATATATACTTGGTTATTATACATTTTGTATTTGTGTATCGTGTGTAAACCTTAATACACTATAATATTCACAATGTGATTTTATTATATAGTATAGAAAATCTATGTATATATTTACACACCCATACACCTAAAAATAGCATCAAATTGTTTACCTATAGAAATATTTTTAAAAAAAACTTTTTAAAAAATTTTTTTTTGTTACGAATGGTGAATTTCAATTTTTATTCTCGATATCTATAATTATGATTAATTATTGGTTAAAGTGAGAAAAATTCAAGGGGTAACTAAATATACCAAAAATTGAGAGACGTTACCAAGTATGTACTTAATCCATTTAACTTCTAGGAAACCCGCGGATTAAAAACTTAAAAACTTCCGAAATCCTCCCCCACACAAAAATATGTATGCATAAAAGTTTGTGTTTAAAAATAATTTCCTTTCCTCAAAAAAATTATTCTACACATGCTTTTAGTCACTAAAAATAATATAAAATGGGCTTAATAATAATAATGTATTAGCCAATATTATATACATAATTTATGTTTAATAAATTTAGTGTGAATTTTTAACATTTCATTAAAAATACAAATAAAATATCTACTTATATATTTATCATATAGTTTGAATATCGTAAGATTAATTATTACTCTTAATCTCGCTCTTAATTAACAATTTGTACACAAACCAGTTTTTTTAAACTTTAATCCTGTAACAGAAATTCATGTTTTTGCTACGTGAATGACTTTTATGTCTGCATTTCTGCACGTTTGCACGTATACATTATTAAAAACTGACGTCTTGTCACTTCTTATCATTAAAAATACTTTTCTTTTTAATACAAGTTTAAATAAATGTTTTAAGATCTTGATACTTCAACTTTAATTATAATGATTAAAGCGTCCCCCGGACAACTATGACTAAATGGGTGGGATAATTTTACACTAAATAAAAAAGGGGGTCTAAGTCTGGTTAAGATCTGCAGTTTTTTGTTATACATTTATTATGAGAAAAATAATATCGATATAATAAATGCACAGTGATAAATACTATACCTTACAGTGGTACATGATATTTATACACTGGATATTTTTCTAAGCATACGTATTCAATTTATATGTTTATAAGTTATTACGGATTTATTCAATATGCATCTCCAATTGCAAACAAATTAAGCTAAACAGTATATTTTATTATTTACTTAAAAAAAAAAAAAAAAAAACACGTTTCTCTTGATTGAAAACACAATATTTTATACTGCTATCTTAGAATACTTTTGAAATCAGAAATGGTATAGAAAATCGCCACTATCGATTATTGAGTATTGAACATAATTTGATTAAATCAAATTATTTAAGAATACTCTTCCAAAAAATGAATCTATAAAATATATTGTATGCAAATATCACTGTGTACAACATAGGTTACAATATAGGTATTCTTGGTAAATATATTAATTTAAAATCTAGAATAGTTGAAATATTATAATATTATTTAATAAAATCGATTTAAATAATTGTTCAACATGAAATTGTAAATATCATCAAAATATTGTTTGTATAGCAAATTAGTGCAGGCAGTAACACATAACTGTTCTGAAATCGCGTTAAACAATATACATAATTTATATTGATATCACTTTTGATAACGCTATGCATTATAATTGGCGTATTTATTATTTGTATAATCATATTTATCCGGCAGAAATTCATTTCTTTTCAATGTACATTTATCATGATATAATTTTTTTTTTTATTAAAAGATGATTATAACATTGTTATATTGTGTATAACTTACTATTATTATGTATTATTACTGTTGATAAATGCTTTTAATTTTACGACGTGAAGGCGTATATTATATAATATTATAATATATTCAATACAATTTGCTCTATTTAGTTAAATTTACCAACAAAACTTTGAAATATTAGTAAAAAGAAAAATCAGTATCTATATGGGTGAATTTAGATGACTTGGTTGTCAAGAATAATGTACTTTTTTTTAATACCCTAGTTACGAATCAAACGCATATTTTTGTCATGTGCCATTTTTAATTTCAAGTACTTCTCGTGCTTTTATACGGAAGTTGGTTATACGGAAGAACTAATAATACGCAGTGTATAAGCGTAGGGTTTAATAATCAATTTAGGTGTGTCGAGTGTTTGGTCGAGTGTCTACAATCGAAATTAAACACCCTAATTCTTGTCTCTATTCATGCACGTTTATTATAGGACGCTACAAAATATGTCATATTTACTATTATTCTAATATTACGCAATGTACAGTAATAAAGTACGTATGTTACACGTACTTAAATGCATTTGAATGCAACATAAATTATTTTTTAATTCCTCCGTGTGGCCAATACCTTCAAATCCCGCACAAAAATAAAATTAAAAGCATTATGTTTTCCCTATAAAAGTGTACAATATAATAACCTAACCTTCAATGAAAATTAAATCTGTATTAATTATGTATTGTTAAAATATAAGAACTTTAATATAAATAACGATATTTGTATTAAATTTGAGACATAATGTTGTTTCATATTAGTGACGATACCTTTATATAACTGATAAAAATTATATTCTTAAATCTTAATCTAAGCCTATTTGATTTTCATTTAAGAATATGCTACACGTGCATTTGATGTTTTCGTTACAAATACTAGATATATTCGTAGTAAAAACTTGTTTGTGCATACTACACAGAACTCTCTTAGCTTTGGTTTTAGAGTTAAAACACCTATTATAAAATTAATAGAGAACAATATTCCGGAAAGCGAGATGTTGCATGTTTTTCAATGTTTTAGTGAATTGGAAAATTTTTTGAAAAAGTCGTTACTTATTAGTATAAACGGTAAATTGTCTCTTAGTCTAAGTAAGCATATTTTAAATATATCGTGCGTTTTTAAGAAACAACAAATACGTGAGTATCATCCACTTCAAGCATTTTGATTTACACGTATAATTATGCGACAAGTACTTGTTTTGATACATAACGATGTATTATATCGTCTTGTATAGACGAGACTAACTAAAGAATATTTATAACGTATGTACCACGTTATAAAAGTTACCGTTAGTAAAATTTATTTTCTTCGATAGTTTTTTGAAATGAACGAGATAAGCGTGCACGTTTATTGCACAGGGTAGACAATTTTTATTTTACATAAAAATGGTAACGTTTTTTCATGTTTTTATTAAATCTTTTGCATGGATTTTTAACTGCGATAAAGAGTTACAAATTTAGGTCGGATATGTATATATTTTTGCATATTTTTTTATTTAAAACAAAATAGTTTATGTTTACTAAATGTTTTTCATGACTTAACGGCTAAAATTTTATTTTGCATATTTTAAAGATTTTGTATATTTTTAGAGCATAGGAGTGTTTAAGGATTTCATACATTTTTAAGACATTTTCACCCTATTTAATAACTTCTGGAACTACAGAATAACGTGAATATTGCCCCTTTTTCTAAACAACAAGCGCCGCTCGTGTGTATAGTGTATAATATATTGAACATAAAATATATAATTATTATCGATGATAAAGCTGTTATTATAATAATAATATAATATGTTATGTTGTCGGTATACTTACGGTTTTAAGTCTCCTTCGCTTTACTTTCGAAATATCATATCATAATATAACAACCTTCGGTATATTCTAATGCTCGATTCACCTGTTGAAGCATAGTAGGTATACGCGTGTACACAGACATAGGTCATTCGACTTTTTAGAACACGATAAAACAATACCTAAATTGTATTGTTGTAAATGAATACTGCAGCATTGAACAATGTTAATAATTTTTAAATTCATATAATGTCGTAGGTATACGAGTATGAAAATTGTCATTATATTATCGCAATCTAATATTACAGAAGTAGTTATGTATATTATAATATTTTGACGAGAACAAGAATTACTAATGTTTTGCGGGTATGTACCTATAAAATATTATATAATTATAGATACCTCATAAACGTACAGTAGCTACCTGTTGAATACGTTCAGAATAATATTATTGTCGGTATAAAATAAGGTACATGTTTAAATATTGATATTTATCGCTATCCATATCGTAATAATATCGTATAATAATACACAGAAGTGTTTAACCGAAATACGTAAACACACGCTGCAATATTAAATGTTTATTCACGTTAACACGAATGTCGCAAAATTTCACTTGAACCTATTATAATAGGTGTAATGTTATTCTGTCGTACCCCTGAAAGAAAACCGACACGACTCAAAAAAATACGATTTTCCAGTCATTGATACCAAAATGTGCACACGAGAGACGCGCGGACGCATTATGTTGAAAATCGCAATTATAATGTCCATTCATTGTCATGTATTATTTATTAGCCCATTTTGTAACGATGTATTATTACTTATGTATGTATATTGGCGATAACGTTAAATTTTCGACGCGTTTTTCAGGAATTCCGAAAGGCGCAAAGAAAAGTCACGGGACGCCGCTCGATCTAGGCGCAGTAAAGAAACGGAGATATTTTCGGATCTCGGTTCGGCGTTGCCTCTCCCGGCTTCCGTTATCGGTCAACTGGACAAAGCTACGATCATGCGATTGACGATCGCGTCGTTCAAAATTATGGACGCTCTGTCTTCGAGTAATATACAATAATTATTATATTAATTAAAATTCGAATACGTTCGATATTTTTCGCTATTGACCCGATCTATATTATATTATCAGGAGTGGCCAAACTTTCTCTCGGATAGAGATCTATTGAGCAGTGACGTAACTCCTAATGCCCGTGGTAAAATATCTAACCGCATAGAGAGCGCTACGGTAGTTCAAAAAACAAAACAGCTGTTTCACAAAAAAAAAAAAAATAATGTTATGCTGAATTTTTTAACTTTGAGGATCGTCTTTCTAACAAAAATATACAATATTATAAACGACCGATAGTTATTAACACTAATCATTCGTACAAATAAAACTAAAAAGTATAGTTAAATAACGTTTTTCGTCACGCTTTTATTAAAACTGGTGTATAATAATAGGTATTATAAATACAATTGTTAGTCTAAACGCTGTTGAATGCGTATTACTCGATGAATTGCAGGTAACAAAATAATGATACATATAAAAATAAAAATGATCGGCAACTGCGATTTATCTAAGAAATAATAATTATGAAAAAAATTAATCCTAACAAAGGTTGACATTTCAACCGTTTGCGTTTGGCCACCCCTATCTGTTATACATATATTATTAGAGTACCCGAATTATGACTTAAAATTCATTCGATTTAATAAGCCCCTCCGAAAATATGACTTTTAAATAAATCACGCCGACGTCGTGTTGTTTTTATGTTATGTTTGTGAAATCGGCAATATAACGGTGTCAAATAAAAAATGAAAAATATTGCACCTACATATACTCGAAAAATAATTAATTAATCATATTGTTCGTATCGTAAATCGTAAACGTCTGGTCGTATTGCAAATTAAAGTTCGACGAGTCGTAATTTTATTATTTTTGTTTCTATTATCGTTACTTGTATAATAATATGCCCAGTGATATCTAATGAAAAAAACCTATTGATTTTATTAGAATTTGTCTGCCTGCAAACTAAACGTAGATTAGTTAGGTGTTTTTCTCCGTATTAAAATGTATTATACGATTTTTTGACCTCGAATATTTTATAAATACTTCGGTAGCCGTCTGTATTGGCGTATTTTCGATTTTCTTTTTCGTCTTTGTGGTGGTTTTTTTTATATAATTTTACAAAACGATACATATTTTAGGTGTAATAAATACGTTAATAAATTTGAACGGAATATTGAAACATTAGTTTATAATTTTTCTACCGAATAACAATATTTTTGTGTGAAACCACATGAAAACGCATTAAAATTGTCACCGTTTGTGAATGCGTTCTCTACACCACGCAGCTGCGTGTTATTCCGTATAACACAACAGCAGTCAAAAAATAAAATTTATCCTAAATTAATGGATCCTACATGGCAGCAAATCTGTAATCGATAAATTATATCGAGAGAAATCCAGCTAACCTTGGCCCCGGATGACGCAAATAGATTTATTTCACTTGATTTTGTATACTATTTGTCAACAAAAATTTGTATTATTTTATATAATACGACGATAATGTTAAAATCGTTTAATAATAAAATCACTCAAGCCGAGTTTCCATTACACCGAGCACTGTGTCCCGTGTATTAATTTACGTATTCTGGTTAACTGAACGGTTTGGTTGATACTATAGGTAGTACCTGCTTTATATTTGTGGTATGCCGTCCATACCAACGATACCACGAAGTTGAATCGAATTCGACTTTTCACCGTGTGTTAATAAAAATTTGTGATGATTGTTATTATTTCGTTTATGTAATGTAAAAAATAAAATCGTATCACAGCCGCTAAAATTATAATGATATGATGGTATAGATAATACGGCGGTTAATGTTTGTAATATATAAGGACGGCGTGTGATATAAAATACACGGGGCACGGAATGGAAACTGGGCTCTTTACAAGTATATGAATTGATATTAATTATTTTTTCCCCTCGCGGTCTTTTCAGTGGATTTCGACGAAAAACTCGACGAAAAAGAATCGCCGCCGAACATGAGCGAAATATGCAACAAAGCTTTGGACGGAATCGTTTTGATAACGACAGCCGACGGAGATATCGTTTTCATATCGGAAAACGTTTCCAGCTACTTGGGTTTATCACAGGTGCTATTATTTTTATTTTTTTTTAAAGTGTATATTTCATTAAAATATATAATATTATTTTAATCGTTTTAACGCGTACGCAAGAGTATACCTACACATTACGTTTTCACATTATAATAATATTATTAATCGTCCGAAGTAATCCGCGCATGGAATATTTTACCTTGATGCGATATTTTCGTTTTTACGGTATGTAATAATAATAATAATAAAGAAAAAAATATGCCCACACTAGGCGTACCTATTTATAATAATAATAATAATAATAATAATAATATGACACATTGATTTATTCGTAAGGTGAATAAAAAAAAAAAAATTAAAATTCCTTGGCGTAACTATGTTACTTATACATTATGTTATACCGGAGGATTCTTGATGCCGCTGCGAAGTGCCATAGTGCTAGGATTTATAAAATTCGAAATTTAAGGCTTATCAAAAAAAAAATAAATATATATTACTTACCAAAATCGTTTTAAATCAATTTTCTCTGACCAACTATAATCTATTTCTCAAATATTGTGCTTTCAATTTATTTGTTCTGATAAAAAAAAATCTGCGAAATTCCTCGGGTTCAAATTTCAGAGTTATCTACGCTACACACATATGCGTACAGATCAGAATATTTTTTGTACGCGAATTTTATTTAAATAAAATTGTTTTTTAATGTATATTTAGTAAAAACCTGCGACGGACATTTCCGAATATGCCAGACGAACAGCTATCGAATACTTTTGTTTTAGGAAAAACTATCGAATTGTTCGGCAGCGACAATTCGGTCATGTCCGTCGCCGTTACGCTAAAAACTGTTAACTGACGTTTTGTATTTTCCCGTATAGATCGATTTGATCGGACAATCGATTTACGATTTCGCCCATCTTTGCGATCAAGCGGAACTGAAGGAAATGTTGACGGGCAAAGATGCGGGCGTACAAAAATCATTTTTCATTCGTATGAAATGCACTCTCACGAATAAAGGGCGCAATGTCAATTTGAAATCGGCGTCCTACAAGGTCTGTATGATAACATATTATGTTAATGTGTTTTAAACTCGAAAACGTATTCTTATGTCGTTGTTTTGAAAACCACGATAGGAACGCTGCACACACGCAGGGGCGCAATCACAGGGGGTAATATGGGAGATAGATTCCCACATAGGCTGTATTTATATATTACCTTTTGCCTACTTTGCCTATTTGTAGAAAATACTTAATGGTCCGGCAATGTTAGCAATTCATTACGATGTTCAATTTTTAAGCGAAGACATCATTGATAAACTTGCTAAGAAGTCTAGGAATCAAAAAATTGATAGCAAATTTGTTAAATTTTTTTTGTTGATTTGTATATTTAATGTAGAATAATTATATTCATATGCGATGGGATATAAAATGTAGTTTCCGGGGGAGGAACGAAGCCCCCCACAAGTTTGTTATATAGATATTTATTTTGATATCCCCCCCCCCCATGAAACATTGTCAATTACGCCACCGCATACATGAGCGACGAGTCGAATTCGAGTCGTTCGCGTTTCTCCGATGTCCGAAATGTTACGCTCGCGTGACGACGCGCGCACATTGTATACACACCGGCCGCAGTGGTCGTATAATAATATTCGTGGTGAATGTAACACAAGACGTCTTTTGGACCGTCCGCGATACCATTTTTACAGTGCGCGAGTAGCTATTTTATTTATTCACGTCATATATTAATATACCTGTTTGTCCAGATATTATACCTACGTTTTTTACGCGAACAGTCTCGGCGTCTTGTGTTTCTCGGAAGCGCTACGTCGTCTCGAATCACGACTTCGTTTTCGCAACCTATAATTTAGGCATGCTAAAACTAATTAATGGTTTTTCGCGGTGTCTTGTACTCGAAAAAAATTAATAATAATACAACACAAAAATCACGTACGCCATATTTTTATCACGTTTAACGCGACGACACAGAGAATCGATGATACACTTAAACCGCGCTTATAATTCGCTAAAAATTTCGCATAAATATATAACTACGTTTTTTTTCGCCGTCGAAATTGCATTTCCGATACGTAATATGACTGTGATTTAAAAAAAAAAAAACAAACGTAAACCCTAATAAATCTGTGTATGAGTTCGTTTTAATGTGTTCGAAAAATTTTTCGAATTCGCAGCTATTCAAATGACGAAAAGTTAATGCAATTTGTATTGTTTTACTTAGAATGCAGATAGGTTTAATGTCGAATGCACGTGCAATCGAAAAAATGCAGGTTCTTTTATATTACGCCCGTGATCTATCAACCATCATATTATCTGTTATCAAAATGTAAATATTCAACTATACCAGCGTCCTACTGTTTCAAAAACGTGAATTGCAAATCGGTTAGAATTTCCCGTTGCACGGGCGTATAGAGTTTATTATATTCGTTTATCTTTTTTCAAATTTTATATGTCGAAACAATTTATAATTTTAAAGTAAGCGATAAAAGTAAAATATTAAATTTGTTTGGCCTTAGATTCATTGCTGCCGGTTCATAGGTTCTATGTGGTAGGTAGTTTTTTTTTTATTGACTGATAATTGTGTAAAAATTGCGAAAAACTATAATCATAATTTTTAGTACGACACACCCGTTTCGAATAAAACTATTTTTTTTTATAGTGTGACATCGTGATTTATTATAATACATTACTAGAAAAAGATTATTGACTACAAAATTTAAAATATTTATTTGTATTTATAAACTTTATAGTATGTTACCAAAAGGTTTTGGAATTTTTTTCACTGTTTAAAATTTAGTCTAATTTAAGTTTTAGTAAAACTTAACAATTTAACTACGGAGATTCTGTAATTTGTGAAATTGCTAATGATACTAATAAAATTGCCGTTGTACATATTTTCTCGATATAGTTATATTTGGATTACGTTAGAAAATAGGTCTTACCTGTTCTTGAAGAAGAGGTAATTTCTCCATTTTCTTTTTTGGATTTTAAATTTATACAATTGCCATGTTTTAAAATCTTTGAGACTCAATACAATCTTACTTTAAATAACTTTATATTTAAAATAAATTTAAAATATTGCTACAATTTTAATACAGTGTCACAATTGACATTTATGTATATGAGGTGGTTTTAAAATCAAGTGCATAACTGAAAAAAAATATAGCCTTAGACTTTTTATAGGGACTACTTTTTTAGCTTTATCTGTTTTGAGTAAGAATGTTTGATGAATATATAAAAATGATTTGTATAGGTCTAGTCGTTATATATATAACTGTATAAAATACATATTCAACAGTTTTTTGTACTTGCATTCCTTATTTTCCGTGCGTTTTGAGTTTCCTGAAAAAAATATTAAATGTTTAATGGGTAGTTAAATAAAAATTAATGAAATGCTCTTTCTTGTTACTGTTCATTTTAGTTTGCATTTTTATTCTTTTTATTTCCTAAGACAGAAAACCATTTTAAGTTAATTTAGTTAATTTCAGTAGACAAATTTGGATTGATTAGTGTACGATTATATTTTTCACCAAATTTTCATTATATTTAATACTTCATTATCATTTAACTAGCCTGGATCACATCTTTAAAATCATATTAAATTTGTTTGTATTTTAGTCATCCTTAAAAAACTGTAGCTAGGATGGTAAAATGTTTAAAATTTGAAATACACTGTTTTCAACTATGTCCTTATTTTGCGTATTTATGAGAACTTATTTGAAATAATGGCTTAGGCGGAACTGGCCACAGATTTTTAGGGACAACTATAACTATTGGTACGCAAATACACAAATTATTCATAAAAATCATTGTAAAATATTAAATTTGTGATTTGTTCACAAATCCGGGTTTATAAAATGGTACTTGACAATTTTTGAGTATATTCAAAAGATGATTCATACAAACATAAGAATATTTAAAATATTTCCATTCCAATTAATAAAGTGTTGTATAAACAATCAATAACAATATAGAATTCACCTTATTAACATTCAAATTTTATATTATAGTAGGAGTATTTTACAATAGTGTAGTTAAAATGATAGATATTAATCATTAAATTATATTTTTTCAATAAGAACACTTTTGAAAATTGTTTTTGTCATTATTATGAATGGAAAATTATTAGTTTTATAATAAATATCATTTTATTATTATTTTAACTAATGAATATTTTTTTCATTTTTAGGTACTTCATTTTACTGGACATTCAGTTATCAATAGTTGTGCTAAAAGTAAATCATCGATATTATCTGCTGATGAATCTGATTCAGATTATGAATCGGATAAAAAAACGGATTTGGACAACAGATCTAATAGTAGTGATTCAAAGTCTGATACATTTTTTAATAATTCACAATCTCAAATATTTGTATCAGTTGCCGAACCAATACCGCATCCATCAAATGTTGAAATACCGTTGTATAAACAAAGCAAAATATTTTTTAGCAAGCATTCGTTGGATATGAAATATATAGTTGCTGATGATGTGTAAGTGAACAAAATGTTGATACCATTATTGTTGAATTTATATAATAACTATTGTAATTTATTATTTTAAATTTGAATTATAATATTAAAAATTTAAAATAATTAATTAAAAATTGTAAATTATAGAATTGTATTGATATTCAGCAATAATCTATATTATCAATTATTATACTATATAATGGTTTGAAAGTTTATCTAAAATTAATTTATTAATGATGGTTTGTAATATTGTAAATGTAATACATTTTTGTGTTGTTTTATATTTAAAAATTTACTTTTGTTTTTACTGTTATTGATGTATTTTATTAATTCTAACTTATTTTGTATACCTACTTAATTACTTATTGTATTTATTGGATATTAAAAAATCATATTTTTTTTCATTTTATATTTCACTGATTTAGTATAACAGTATTTTAAAAACTGGGCATATATTGGTTTTTAGTTAATTATTAAAACTAAAAAGAAATTAAATACTTCCGAAGTCAATTTCTCTCGATAATTAAATTATTGTTTCAAAATTTAATTTAATCTTAATTTTTACTTACTACAAACATTTAATTTGTAATTCAATAAATCATGTTAGTTAATTTAAATTTATTTTAGTATTTTAATTTAATTTCCAATAAATTATTAAAAAACGACTCATACTATTTAATAATATTTTGCAAGTGTAATAAAATTGTTAATTAAATATATAATAATCAAAATATTAAGTCCTGTATTTCATAAAGACATGAAATATTTCCATTTATATTTTTAATTAAAGATAATAAGATCTGTGGTATAAATATATAATAGATGTATAAAATGTATTAAATTTATTATTTTGTGTCACTGCATAACAAGTAGTGCTTTCAATAAAATATAATACTTATTTCATTTTTTACAGCAATTATAAAAAATTGTATAATATGACACCTTAAATATAATAAAACATATTATACAACCAGAATATTAATTAACTATTTAAAATTTAAAATTTGCCCATTCATAATTTAAAATTAATTGGAATACATTATATTATTGTTATTTTATGCATATAATTTTATGAACAAATTAAGTTTATTGCATACACAGTTAGTTTATAATTAATCTTGTCTATTTTCATAAATCCATTGAAAACTTTCTAAAATGTCTAGTTTGATCCAATTATCATCTTTTTAGTATTTTAAATGTAATTTCTAAAATCTATTTTATATTCAATAAGTTTGTAGTACTTAATTCTAATTTATTGTATTTTTAACTTATAATATTACAAGCCAACATATTTTTATTGATAGTACAAACAAAGTAAATTATGAAGTCTTTATATTATCGAGTTTTAGTTCTTAAATTGAAATAAAGTAAATTTCGTATTGTACATTAAAGTATATATTTTTAGTATTATAATTTATACAATATAACTTTTATTTTTATTTTTAGTATAACAAAATATTTGGGTTATGAACCAGATTCGTTGCTTTCAAAGTCTGTGTTTGACTATTATCACGCTCAAGATTGTAATTCTGTTGAAAAGAGTTTTAAAATATGTAAGTTCAATAATTATATTCTCAACTTTTGTGAAGGAGTTAAAATGTTTTTTAAATTATAAATTATTTATTTTCAGTGTTCCAGAAAGGTCAAGTAGAAACCAATAAATATAGATTTTTGTGCAAAGGAGGTGGTTATGTTTGGGTAGTTACGCAAGCAACCATACTTTATGATCAAAAAGGAGTAAAACCTGAGAGTATTATGTGTATCAATTATGTTGTAAGGTAAGAATCTGAATTTCTTTTTGGATATAATAATAGGTTTTATAATTTGTGTTTAGTTACAACCAATATGTGCCTTTATGACACTATAAGCACAATAATTATAAATAATAATAATTTTTTGAATAGAATTCAGCCAGTGGTAACAATATACTATATTAATAAGTGAAATTAAATTTTAAAGGAGTATGTTTGTTTTATAATTTTAAGGAATTTGTTTCTGTTATTTAGAACATTTAAAAAATCATAATTTAATAAATCATATGAAATCAATACATGCAGCAAAGAATCTGTTATTTTTGAGTCACTAATACCACATGATAAAGTGTGACTTTCTCTACATTGGATGAAATAGGTATTATCTCAAAAAAATGAGCAAGAGGTTGTAAATATTATTTTTATAATTTTCCTTGTTATCTGATAATAGAAATAATATTGTCTTTAGATACAACCTACAAACCTTAGATCATATATTATATTTCTTTATATTATGTTCTAAGTTACAAACAAATAATATAGCTGAAAGAAAATTTATTATGTTATGATAAGAGTACCTATTAAATATGATAACTAAATCATGTTGTTCCTGATGAAAAAAGTAGTATCTTTTTTTATCTTTTTATTGACTGGTTATATCAATATAAAATCTACTTAAATATAATAGGTATAATAATTTATTTTTGTATTAATAATATTTCATATAGATTTTATTTTATTTAAATTTACATTGATTTGTAGAAACATTTTTTACAATATTAATTTGGTATTAAAATCAAATTTATTGTATTAACTAATTCTATTTGTTTTTTTTTTTCATACATAACTTTTTTTTGTGATAATAATTATATTAGTAAACTACAATAATTCTTGTGAAAATGTACTTTACATTGGATACTAACTTTCTATTCACATTTATCCAGCTAAAATAGACTTAACTTCAAATACTGCCTTTTTCGATTTTTTTTCCAATGTAAATTGTTGCAACTTGATTTTTCAAAGTTTAAATATAAAAAAAAAAATCAACAAAAACTAGAAGGAATATTTTAACGTAAATTAAATCAATAAAAATGTTGCAAATAGATATAAAAGAAAGTTAAAAATAGACTCAGAATTTGAGTTTTAAGTTGAACAATTTGTAAACGATTTTATTTAAAAATTACAAAAAGTGTGTTACTAAACCACTTTCTTCGATGTATGTATCGAGATATAATTGACTGAAATACCAATTTACTCCGGGAGTTATTGTGCAAAGCACTTAGGTAGATAAATGAACTAATTTTAGGCCGAAAACGTGTATAACTTACAGTTATTTGTAAGTAAATAATTATAAAATATTTATTCAACCACACGGCGTCAACAATAGACAATTTAAATACCTTTAGTAATGTTGAAAATGAAAGTAAAATATTTTTCATGCATATGTTGTAATCGCGTATAATAGCTTAAGGCGTGCACGAAGCGAGTTTATTTTTTAGTTAAAATAAAAACAAAAATTTATTAATATTCTTTCATTATTTTACACTTTTTAGATTGGTTTGGTTTTTTTTTGTTCTTTTTGTTTATTAACACGAATAAACAAAAAGAACAAAAAAAAATTCCTATTAGAAGATTTGCGTCAATAAAACATTTCATAGAGTTTTGTAGCATTTTTGATCTAGTTGGTATATGGAGAAGATGGTTTTTAAATTTCCAGTACTCGTCATTATCATGGAATAACGGGAAAATGTATAATGCATATTCATATTGTTTTTTTTCTACAATTTTTTTTTTTTTTTTTGTGCGATTCGGTAAAAATTAATCGTAGAGATGCAAAATTTTCATTCGAATACTAGCTGTTGAGTTTTAATGGTGTTTAAATGTTTTGGCTTTTTCGAATTTATTCCGTAGGTATTCAAAAATAAATTCACTCTGAATTAATAAGGTATGATAAAATACGAGATTGTTAAATTTAAATTCTTACAAACATGTATGAAATAAAGCCGATTGTTGATGATATATTTTATTCGTTATTATAATCGGATTTAGCCAATGGATAGCCTATTAATTATTTTTCTACTGTCTGTTGTTAATAGTTTGTAACTCAATGATTGCAGGTTATACAGTATGAGCTATTTTGCATTATTATTTCGTGTCTCAGATTATTTATATTCTGTAACACTGTTGGTACAAACGAGTTTTGGATTGTTTAAAATCCCTTTTCCTTCGATCAACTAACAACATTATTCGAGAATCTTGTTGATTATTATTATTTTCATGGATCCTGTTTAATACTATATCAGGTTTTTACGAATAAATATACTTTTATTGGTCTTTTGTAGTTTTTTTTTTTAATTCGAGGAGAGGCGAACACGATGATAAACGCGAATTCCTTCTTTGTACATAGAAACCAGGAAAGGACTAGTTTCTTATTTTTACAAAACTCAAAACGGGTTCGTCGAACGAGTTCTTTAGTAATCGAATGAGTATTTAGATTTTTCAACGGAACTGAATCGTTTTGTCATCGATATTATCGAAATAAAAGAATAAAAGTTTACAAATTTTGTAAATAAAGTTTAATAAGTACTTATTAAATTATAAGATTCATAACTATTCCACCTAAAATTTACGTGACACAAATAATATTAAATATATATTTTTTAAATCAATTTTAGAATTGTTATTTTTCTATATTATTTGTTTACGAATAAAAAATATTCTTTTCAAAATATACAAGTACCATTATTATAATAATAATTATTCTCAATAATCTTTCATACTTAACATTAAATTCTCACAAGTGCCTACCTAAATAAGTTAAATATTAGCAGATATTCAATAAATAAATAATGTAGGCAAATCATAAAAATATATAGAGTGGTGTAATCAGACTTATAATAAAACGATCAGGTACCATAATAATAAGTTAATATAAATTCTTACAATAAAATAAATATTGTATTTTGTGCGCTCGTGAAATGAAAAATAGCATTGGGTTTTATCTGCATCAAAAAAATGATTTGCATTAATTTGTTCAATTATTATGTATTACCTCTTTAACTATCGCTGCCACATTATTGTTAATATTCATCATAGTTTTTAGTGCCGTGTAGATAATATTATATTACTGTATTTCAGTTATAGGTATTATAAATATTTGAATGTTTATAGTATTGTAATATTAAAACCCGCGGTCCATTCGATTATTGTTGTTACTATCGTGATAGTTGCGAAATTCGCAATTGTAATAATTACTATTATGAATCATAACATCGTGCGAATAATGTGTATTGGTAGCTATCGAATGATTTCGAAATCAACTATCACACTATCGATAATCTATAGTTACTGTTGTAAAACTGCTTGAATGATAGTTACTAATAATGTGTTGAGCATTACTACCGTTCGATTTTACTGTCGTGGCGCACTCTCATCATAATTTCTCTCGATATTCACTCTACTAGATTATTACTGTACAACTGCATGTACTATCGTATGAACGTTGTTATTGTTGTGATAGTTATCAGGCATGTATATACAAAAAACAATTTATAAGTAAAAATTAAACCTTTTGAACTAAAGAACTAGTATATAATATGATTCCACACGATGATAGTTACTATCGCAATAGTTGCACTACCAACTATCGCGATAGTAGACATTATATGGACCAGACACGATAAAATACATCGTACGTATAGATTTTAGAAATCAAAATATTCTCCTCTTACACATTTTTGCCAATTTGGCTACATTTATATATTAACTCGTGGTAAGAAAAATGAGTGACAGACGGATTTGCTATATATTTTATTTTTTTTTGCTCGACGTAAATTTCATAGGTAATTTCAGTTGCATCGCACGGCACGTGTACAATCGTGAGTAAAAAGTCGAGTAATTTTTTTTGTTAATTTTTCGATATTTTTTATTTAATCGTTTTTATTATTGATTGTATTATTTTCATATAGTTTTCATGTCACAAAATCCGTTTTATTAAAAAAAATTACTATAAATGTGCAGAGTAAGTTTAAATTGAAATATATTTTAACTTGATTAAGAGTAATAATGCAAAAAAGGTTTGTTAAACGCATGAAAAACATACAAAATTTACAGTAACTTCTAATATTTACCTCTAATATTTACCTTTCTACACGTACCAAAAATTTAAATGTCTTTTTGAAAAAAAAATGTTTAATATACTTAAAAAATTTAATTTCTAGAAAAAAAAAAAAAATGAAGGCTTTTTTTCATAGGTGTACGATATTATGTTATCTACCCATGCGCAACGAAGAATATATTAATATATTAGATGTATATATATTATGTATTTTCTTCACATAATACTTAATTTTGATTTATCACGTTTTTCATAACATTGTTCTCATTAAAAAAATACATAAATATTATGTTGTAACAATATTTTTAATTATATTAACTGAAAAACTTATTTTATGTATAAATAAAAAATCTCAAATAAAAAAAAAAATCAATTTAATCACATTCACTTAATTTTTTACTAATTTAATTACTTAAGTTTATTTTCATCAGAATATTTTATTTATGTATTTATATATATAGATTATACGCATTCTGTAAAATATAATTTTTCATTTTTAAAACGTAATAAAAATCACGCACGTTTAACTAATAAAATAACATAATATATGATTTATTAAAAAAATAGTTGGATGATAGTTTAGGTAATTCAATTGATTAATTTTAACTTTTACGGCTATATTATCGTTATTATAGGTAAGATTCTTTATTTATGTTTGGGATATTCAAGAAAAAAAACTGTATTGCTTACTTTTACATTTTTATATCTCTAATGTATTTCTTTTGTAGTTTTTATAATCTATCAATTTAGTTGTGTTATATTAATTAATTAATAATATTTCAGTAGAATCGGTATTTTGACAGGTATAACACAGGGTGAACATTATCAAGTGCATTTCCACAAAAAAAAAAAAAAAAAAAAATCAAAGCCGATACTACTTAAAGGTGTGCTACTATTTTAGGAAGGAAGTTCGAAAGGAAGATAGAGCAATTTAATTTGTATTTGAATCAAACGATGAACCGTTGTTAATGATACATGTTTATGAGCAGAGTATTATTATAGTTTTTTTTAGAGCCTAAAATTAGGGTATTTTGCTACTGCATACTTAATTACACACACCAAAATATTTTAAAATAATGAACATAGATCTAGTAGAACACATGCCACATACGACTTCGTTGCATAGTTGTTTTTGGTATTTATTAATAATTAGTTATAATAAATACAATTTAAGACAATCTTGTATAAAAGTTATTGATATATGACTAGAAATTTTAAAATTAAAAACTAAATAGCTTGGGTTGATAAACTTATTATATTAATAAAGAATAATAAATACCTACACTTTATTGGGAACAACATTTAACATAATATTATATATCTAATTAGTAATTTTCATTATTTTAAATAATCAATATTGGATATTAATTAAATAAAAATGTATAAAAGACTAAAATAAGTACCTCACACTTTTAAATTTACTACTGTACATTTAATATTAGCTACTGCTCACAGTGTGTGCACTGTACACAAATTTAGGCCCTGGATTTTTTTCCTTCCTTACAAGGTAACCTAATAATCAATAAAAGTATGCAAACAAATGTTCAGTTTTTCAATTTATTAAAAAAACTTTAAGAAAAACAAAAGTCTAAAATAACGTTCCTATAATGTTTTTAATTAAAATTTCCGTCTTACAAAAATATGCTCCTCACGGTCACTCTGTATATGCTACTATGCAACTATTGTTTACTTTTATTACTCACACATACACATAAACATATATATATATATTTATACTCGTTAATTATTGTTTAAATATTCCATACTTAAAATAATTATACTTTATGCAATGTACATTAATGATAAATTTTAACAATAATTTATATTGGTTATAAAAATATTGACCTTATATAACGATGACTATATAAGACTTCAGTACCGTTTGATGATGAATACTATTTTATAATTTCAATTTTATCAGTATATAATTTCAGAAAAGAAATTGTCGTTGGTTTAAAACGTTAATATTTATTACTAAATTTCATTTATAAATGCACCATAATATTTGAAAATAAATATTTACAAACATTTCGAGATACCAGATAAAAGTGAATAATATTTTATTGACGCGTTGACACTAGACTGTCGCTTTTTGTACTTAAAATGTCATATTATTAAAAAGCATAGTAAAGCAAAATGCTCGAATCGTAAATTTTCAAAACGATAAACTGTGCATTTTTAAAACGTAAAATTATTTGTTTGTTATTTGTGTGTTTTTTTCGAGAAATTTCCAGTTTTTCATAAAAACGTTAGACAAAGGAAAAAATCTAAAACAAAATCCAATAATATATCAAGTTCCCAATCTATGCATGTGAAATTGTTACGTGCGACTTTAAAACTATGTAATATATTTAAATTATAAAGTAGCTAGTTCTGACTGATGTAATGGCCGATTCGCCATTGCTGAGCCGAAACCTATGGGCGCCTCTATACTTTGGCTATAGTGGGAGGGGGGACGGAGAAATTGTTAAATTTTATATAAATGTCAAATAATATAATATTGATAATATTTACTTGTGGACCAACAACTATGTCAAATGTCAATGTAAGTCCATTTCTCTCGGGGGGCGGGGGGGGGGGAGGCGATCGCTCTATCACTCCTTTATAAGGACGCCCGTGCTGAAATCTCTGAAGTTATAAGCATAAAATTTCGACCGTAGTTTCATTTTATGATGTAGATATTCTCTAAGAAGGGATTTTATTTTAAATTAACTCCTTTAGGGAGTAAAGTGAAGGATACTATTTTTAAAGTAAAACTTCTAGAGGTTTTAACGTAGAGCGACCATTATTATTTTAAACCATTAGACCGCCATGGTATTTCCTAATTTGTAGGATTAATCCTTGTGAATTAATAATCGCTAAAATTGGGCGAAGCTACTTTTGTAGTATAACAGAAATAATACAATAGCATAATTCAATAATTAATTGACATATTTCTTTATAACGAGGAATAATAATAGCCATATACCATCGTGCTGATTTGTGTTAGTATAGTTATTGATAACGACCTGAGTACCTGTTATTATCGATAATATATATCTACATTTTTTTTCTCTTCATACATACGTAATGTATACTTATTTATAATGAACATATTTAAAAAAAAAATAAACTGACCTACTTCGCACGATGGGTGGGCTACTGTTGTAGGTGGGAAATTGGTAAGGTAGAGAGGAAATTTAATTTATATCTGTACGCAACGGTTAATTATTGCTAACGAAAAACGATTCTGAGTGGAGGTCGGTTATAAAAGTTTTGAAGAACTGTGATATTTACGATTTGAAAATAACACATTTTTTTTATATTTTTCCATTTTTTCCACGTTTTTTCAAGATTTTTTTCATTTATTAAAAAAATCCCAGAGAAAATCAAAAAATAACTTCCCTGAGTACCATTCTAGTCAGATTTCCTTTCAGAAAAAGTGCTACACTTGAAAATTTCGGTTAGCAAAGGTGTTCACAGATAAAAAAAAAAAATAAACATCATTGTAAAACTAATACATTTCTCGCTCTGCTCAAAATCGTTCGTAGGGTCTATACGTAAATAGTAAATGCGATTATTTATAAAATGATAACAATAACATATTTCCTCAAATTTAACGAGAGAGTCGCATCATTCACGTAAATGCTGAATGGCTTTGTTGCTATATTATGCGTGAGATAAACAGAGAAAATAAACGTTTTAGTGACAAGGAGGGACTTAAGCAATCGTTTAAATTTAAATTTTTATTCAAAATAATTCGTTCAATGCTTGCCGAGCATATTCACAAACACTTAAATCCCATCAAAAATACGTATAATAATTGTATTCCAATTTAAGAGTACCTGCTCAATATATTATTATTATTATATATTTAATTGTCGCCGTTATAATTTTAAATATCACATAGATTTACCATTACTTAGTATATTTTAAAATGAAAATAAAACATTGTTTATTATAACATATTTATTATGATTTATGATACATAGGTATTTTAATCATACATAGTATAATAATTTCATAAAAAAGACATTTTTTTATTTTAGTTTATCGTTAAAAAAAAATAAATAAAAATTGATCTATAACTTTATTATACTGCATTATTTCACAAAAGTTAAAAATAACGAAATTACAATTAAATCTGCACGTTTTTCATCAGTCTATGTTCGTAATTATATATAATATGTTGCAACTTATACAGGTCTGTCACCATCGAGAGGAAATCAATTTTTTTGCTATGGTAAAATCGAAAATGACTTACTTAAGATAAAATGTATTGTTTCCCTGCAAAAATTATATAAAGTAAAAAAAAAAAATCGTTAAGAGCGTTAATTTGTTTTCTTTTTTTTTTTTTGTCAGTATAAAGTGAACAGACAAATTGTTGATACAGGCAACAAAATACATTTGTCGCCCTCCCCTTTCAAATACGGCCCTGTCTTTATGGCGTATATTAAAGATAATAGTTCATAATATAATAATTTAACTTAAATATATCTAATTTAAAATAATCTAATAAATTGTCTGACATGTGCAATTTATGTAGGCAATATACTTTGTAAAAATTAAGGCCACAAGAGGTGGGGGTGAGGAGGATAGTCGCAGTATGAGAATATTTTTTTTGTAATAATATAATAATTCGATATTGAAAACCTGTGTATAGTATATTCATATAATAATATTATTTAAATCAAAATTCAATGTTTCTATTACTCGATTTTCCAGTTATTATTTATAACATTTTACGATATATTACAAGGTTTTAAACGATGGTTAACTGTCTTGTAACAATACTTTAATACTAATTTACACGGTTGTTTTTATAATATAATTTCTTAGTTTGAATAGGAAGTATGAGTAGTATTTTTTTAATTTTTTTTTTTATGCACGTCTATTTTACCAATAAACGCGATAAAAATATCACCTGATAAATCGCTTTTTGTTGTCTTTTATTAACTGTATAATATTATGTGTTTTATAATATTCGAATATATCGTCAGCTATCCGTTAACAAATTTTACAATATTATTATTATTTACCGAATTTATATATTATTTTTATATAATCTATACATAATATTATATTTTAATATAATTTACATAATTAAAAATAAAAATAAATTTAAAATACTTAAATTGTTGTTAAATAATGCTAGTGCATATCGTGTAGCGTTCTAATAAAAATTGGCCTTCCTTAACCCTACTTTAATGCACGCAGGTGTGTAGACAGGTTAATGTGTTTATTTTTTAATTATTATTTTATTTTTTTTTTAATATAATATAATAAATGTACAATAATATAATTTCTTAATGAGATGTGATGTAGGCTTTGCAGACTTGCTATTATTGCGGCTGTTGCAACGCGATTTTATTGTTTCCTTTTGCAAACTTTACCGTGCTCGTATATAATATCACTTTTTAGCTCATACCTATATATTATAGTATGTATAACACACTCGATATAATTATTTTTTAATGAACATCATTAGTTCATCGGGTCAAAATTAAGTATTTAATAATATTATATGTACATATATTTATAGATGTAAGTATTATAAGTATATAGGTAGTATATCTACTGGAGATAAGGCGTTAGCGAGTTAAAAACATTTTTTTTTTTCGGGTTAGAGGCTAACAGGTAAAATAATATGGTCTAAAGATAATCTAGATATACTCAATATGATATTATAATATTGTATTACATTATATGTATATGGATATACTAATAATAATTTTAAACTAAATTGTTAATTTGTATTTATTTCGAAATACATAATATTATGGCATTTTTTTATATATATATATATATACGTGTGGTGAACAATTTTTGTCGAAACCTAATAATTTATAACTGTCGTGTATGTGAGTTAAAATCTTTTCCAATTGAACGGTAATTTTAAATTTTTTTTTAACACAGCGACTATATTGATTCTATTATGTGTGCAATTTTTTTATTGTCTGAACAACTTTTTTTACAAAATGTTTGATTCAATCAAAAAACGAAAAAAGAACTTTTAGGTAGCATTTTGGATCCTTGTATTTTTCATAATAATTGAGAATAAAAATATTGAATAACTGGACAATTTGATGTCGATAAAAGTTTTTTATTTTAAATCTGTTCGATATAATTTTTTTACCACATATCTTGCTCCGAATTTTAATAGCAGTATATTAAATGAAAGACAATTTTATCTAGTTGGTGTTTAGGATGATCATTTTTTGATTTTCCAATGCGTTTTAGAAATAATTGAGAAAAACCTGAAAGAGTTGTTAAAAGCAATTGTAGAGCCCTGTCATTTTCACAAAATTTGTAAGCTATTTATAGGCATTTGATATTTTTGAACTTTGGGCTAAAAATATTTTCATTGCATACAAAAAACAGTCGAGTTTTATGTAGTAATTTTTGTATTTTTAGTAGTTTATATTTCAACGAAAAATTCAAAACACGAATAACCGAACTTCGCTCAGAACTCTGCCAACATCCAACTTATTACCATGCACTTATCAGCAGTATCAGACTTTTTCTTTTAGAATTATCGATGCATTATGTATCTTGATTGAATTATACGTATATACTATAGTAAGGATTGGTTCCGAATTTCGTGTCCGACATCGGCAATCTGTATAATATACATTTCTCACCAAATTATCGCGCGCAACGGACTGCTGCAATTAATAATAATTATTGCCCATTAATTGCCCGTTATAACAGTGCATTTGCATCACGCAAGCCAATCGTTTTTTAACGATTTGGATTTTCCGAATAAATATTAAAGTATACAAATTCCATTTTTATTGTTAATCTTGGTTTGTAACAATAGCCAAAGTAGTAAATTCCTAGAAACATCGAGTGTTTAAATACGTCGTCTAAAGACACGGTTGAAAACACAATGGAAAATGGAAGATCGATGGGTAATATTTAGGTTGATTCATCGACAAAGGTATGCCAATAAAGATTTCTTTACAAAAGCTAATAAAAGAAACTGTTGAAAAGTTTAGATTGATTTCCAGGCCGCCGGCGTTTAAATGTATAAACTTGTTTTGTTGTGAACCGCAACCACATCGATGAGTAACGATTTCACATTATATTATAGTTTCGGGGTGCGGCCTGTCCGCGGTGTTGAAGTGGGCGGTTTAAATTATTGACACCGAAAGTGTTTTGCACCTAACCTATTAGTGGGATAATATCCGCTGGCGTGTGTAACAGCCGTACGACAAAAACAAATTTGGACAAAATCACGTCGTATACGGTGTTTACTGTTGACGCCGATGTAGAGCGCAGTCGTGTTACCGGGCGAGTGGAGACGGCCGGACAGACGTCCGCTTCCCTCCTCCCCCGACCACGGACGAGTTTATCAACCGGAGTGTTTTCGAAACATTTTAACGTGTAATTGAATGAAAACATCGATTATCGAGTCGGACATGAGATAATAATAATGTGATGACGGAGTAACGCGCCCGCCCCCCGTGTCCCCAACCCCACCCGGCCTCAAAAATCCAAACGCGCCTGTGACGTAGAGGAGAGCGGATATTTTTCTCAATAGAGCAATTTGTCGGTGCGAGATTTATTTTTGCCGACGACGAGGCGACGGGTAAATAGGTATAAAATACAATAACGAGCGGTCGTAAATAATATTATAAGGCTCGTAGCGCATATTTTCATGCGATTGCAACTTGTTCGTGTATGTAACGCCGCCGCCGCCGCCGCCCGGTAGTCGTACAGTGACTATGACGTAGCCGACGACGGTCGGCGTATAACTCTATTTCTGAACGGTTCTAAAATTAGCGGCCCGCTTTGTAAAAAATTTTCTCCAACAATCAAAACAAGGCCACACGATCGCCTTGAGCGCGGAACTTTTTGTCACAGCGTTAGAATTTTTTTTTCAATTTTTTTTTTTTTTTTTATATCTACACATAATAATACTATAATAATAATAATAATAATAATGTATACAAGTAATGTTTTGCGGTGTTTACTGCGGCGCCGGTACGGGTTAACGCAACAGCAGCAGCAGCAGCAGCAGCTATATTATAACGTGCGCGTACCGTTTTTCGGGCCACCGAATTACCGATTATCGATTATTTAAAATCGAAAACCGTTAAAAAAAAAAACAATATAATTAATAAATCCGTTTGAATTGTTATAACAGTATAACGAACTTGGGCCGCGGGTAGCTGGTATACGCACGTATACGGAAACATCTTTTGACAATGATGGATATATTTATAAATCTCGATATTCCGTCTGTCACGGTCTGTTTGGCAATAATATATGCATATTATAATTATTATTATTCAATATAATAACGAGTCCGAATTTTTATCACGACGACGGTGTTTATCATCGAAAGTATATATATATATATATATATATAGAATAAAAAATACAATAGTATAAATACGTTACATGTATATTGTAATAATAATGATATTCTGTCACAAATCAGCTGCGGTACAATAATATCAAACTTAATTGTATTATTTATTTACGAAAAAAAAAAAAAAAAAACAATAATGAGCTTGACGAGCGACGGGGTTTAAAAATAACGATATTACCCATATGATAATCATAATATTTTATTTGACGGGTCGGTGATTTTTTGAATTTCTCAGTAGTAAAAAAATATACTTATACCTATATCTGTATTCGATTTGAAACTATTGAAACAAACAAAAACTTGTGTTAATTATTGTTTACTTAATATTTTTAAAAATCTTAATCTCTTTGATATTGGAATATGAGCGCAGTCGATATTTTTTTTATTTTATTTTAAAAAGACGAGCCGGCCCTTTTGGGTCAATATGAACCAAGATTATTATACTGATCAGTGTATAATATATAAGCTAAGTATATACCTACAGTAAACCTGCAATGAGGTATTATAGAATGAATAAGTAACCGATTAAATAATAAATTTTCAAAGGATTGGAATCGGTGATTTTCTGTGTTTGTCATATACACGTGCGACAGGAATTTAGACATGATCTATTTTCAACGTACCGATTAATCTAGTCAAGCGAAGTAAATTTTAAATACGGATTTATATTTTTGAAATCGACTTACTGAAATTTCGATTTTGTCCCCTAAATCGTAATAAAGTAATTATATAATAATATATTATTATATTATTATTATTATTATTATCCTAATTATATATATATATATATAAAAAAAAAAAAATAATATTTTTATATTTAAGAGAAATAAAAAATGTGGGAAGATAATCTCAAGTATAGACTTGATTCAAATCTGCCTTCTGAATTTTTATAGCTTCTCTAGACCGACAGGTACGGTGGAAATATAAAACGCCTAAATTAGTAAATATGTTGCATGTAAATAGAACAAAGAAAAAAAAAAACACCGTTTCAAATCCCCTTAATATATGAAAATAACACAAAATAAGTACCCAATATACAAATATAATAAAATATATACGTATATTATGTATAAATTATTTTAAATCAAATATCATATTATTTTTGCCGTAATAATTACGATTATTATCACGATAAATAAAATAAATGTAATATTTTGTATTCGTATGTTACACACTTAAAATTAATAATTTATAATAACCAAGGTATTAAGTTAATCAAAATACATTGAAATATACTATATTATTATTATTATTATTATACGTACAATTGTACGTATGTGTGTAATCGTCTCTTGCACCGGTCGGCGTTTCGTTCAATGTACATAAAAACAAACCAGAGGACTTTATCTTAGGTCATATTACCTAACTTTTTAAAACATTTTTTTTTTTTTCTAAATGTATTTGATGTTTCTATAATTATGTATGCGTACGATAAAGTATTGGTGTGTACCTACCTCTTGTATATATCAAAAACATAACGCTTTAAAGATAATGAATATAATATTATATTTAATATAATATTACGGCTTTTCAAAATGAGTATAATCGAACTTCGCTCCGAATAATTTTTCGTTTGTAATGGTTTATCGGTGGTTACTGGTATAAATCAAATAACTTTATGTATCCCATCTTTCCAACTATCCACCTATAAGAGTGACCGCGCCCGTCTCCAGTAACAGCTCTTTCTTAATACTTATACCTATATTTATTATTTTTTATAAATGTTCAAATTTTATTATACTTACCGGGTTACTTGATATTATATATTTTTTTAAATAATTTTCCATTCGTTACATATTTCAAACTCCGATTGTAGCGTAGAAGCTATACTTTTAGTAATATGTTATCGGAAAACATTGTTTTAGAGAGTAAATTATGTTGATTTTTTTTTTTCACGTTTTCGTTAATTTGTGAATTAAATTGCGTGTCTAATAGAGGAAAAACACGACTAATAACCGGTATATAACCTTACCGTTCAAAATCGTATTATTATTATTATCGTTTTTCCTTACAATTATATTTGTTGTTGTTTTCAATAAATGCATAAACTTTATCGTGTATAAAATACTTCCCCAACTTCTCACTTACAACAGTGCATTTGTGTATAAAGTTTTTTTTTATTTCTAAAGGAAAATGTTTGACTTTAATAAATAACTATAACATTGTTTTAAACTAGATACATAATGATAAATTGTTCTTTTAGTTTCGTTTATCATAATAATTGATTAGGCACGCATGTTTTATATTAACGAGTAAATATTAGGCAGTAAGTAAGAAATACTTAAAGCGAAAGAACAATATACTACAATATAATAGGTTTTTACTTACTGTGTATACAGGTTAAGTTAATTCTATTACATCCACCTACAATCAAAATACATAAATCATTAGTTAATGAAATGGGTGTATATATAACACTTTATTATAAAGTTTTCCATACCGTGTTAAAACAAAAACAATTAAAATTGAATAATATGTCGTTAACAAGAGTTATATTTTCGACAATACTCTTAATATCCAGGGACTGTTACGGTTAATAATAAATGTTATTTGAGTGTATTAGAATAATAATATATTATCACTATTATATTATACATACTATTTTGTACTTTCTAATAAATTCATATTAATTCACAATGTGTATGTACAGACATTAAACATTTACCGCACACACGCATTGGAGGAAAAAATTGGCGAGTTAAACTGCTAGAAAATGGATTAGAGTGACCATTTCGTGAGATATTTTGTATTTTACAGCGAGTAGAAAAGCAGTGTTTCTATAATATCACTAAACTGATGGTTTTATAAAAAATAAAATCGCGAGCACTTATTAAAGTTGAATTTTCCTCCTTCTCTTTATATTATAAAAATATGTTTTGTAAAACAATAAATAACCGAATACTATACTACAATACGATATTATATACTATAGTGTACTATAATAATTATAATACTACTTCCCAATGAGTCGTGAAATTTAAGCATAAAAATGGCAGGGGATGAGTTTAAAAGTTTACAAAATTTCATCTTCCTAGTTTCATTTGGGTAGTCCTGTAGTGGTGTTCAAAGTTAAAAATATCAATAATATAGTAAAATACTTAAACCTATAAAACAACTCTCATACCCGAGTTATATCTCATTCGATCTGGAATGAGCCACTAAGTATACAAAACTAGGGAGAAATATATAAGAGTAAAAGTGTAGTGGAATGACTGCTATTTTCGAGGACATTTGACAAAAAATAATTACGATTCCTCTCCAAATTTTAACCGCCCAAAAACAAACTTACCGTCGAAATTTTCTTTCCAAATGGTCAGCTCGTATAATTGAAGGAGATTCGATAATTTGGTATAATAATTTTAGAGGAGCTCCCTCCATACGTATGTCGAAATAATTACACTTTAACTCGTCATGATGAAAAAGTTATTTTCTGTGGCTAAAATATTATTAATATTGTTATAAACAGGTCGGCCTATTATTACTTAATAGTTTATTATCGTTTATGAAAATCGAAACCTATAATCGGTATGATAGATTCGAAATTCGGACCTGTTTTAGTGAACGCGTAATGCGATTACATACATTATATTCTATTAGTAAAATATCGTGTTTACGATCGTGTTCTTAAAACGTGATATACAAGTATTTTTGAATGAAAACGAATCAGTGAAGTTAGATACTAGAAAGGTATAAAGAAAAAAACGGCCGTGTACGCGCAGGTTATAGAATATTATAATAAATAATAATTATTAAATTTCCCCGCGTTAAAACTTAAAACGGAGTGTTAAAAATATTTAAGTCATTAAATAGTCGTTATGTTTACGATCACAAGATTTCAATATTTCTTCCAAACATTTGATGAATGCTTAAAAACTTATTCGAATATTTGTATAGAAAATGGTCTGGAGTTTGGAGAAATATTTGATTGTGATGTAATCCAGACTGATGGTTTTCGGCCAAAATTATTTGTTCACCGAACCAAAATACCATCAGTACCTCACTCGAAGTGTGCCAAATCTATAAATTGAAAAAATCAGATGAAAAAATTATTTTAGATTCTTAGTGAAAAAAGCAAAAAAACGATTATACGAGTAAGTGTGTTCCATCTTACTACAATCGTTTACACTACTCCCGGTTAAACATACCGCACACTATGGGTATACTTGCGGTATTATAATATGGAGTGGAACATAATATTGAAATTTTGTCTGTTTATTTGATAACAGTTATCATATTAAATAGCGCTGATTACGTACGACGGCTATAGATAGTACTATTGCTATACTATATCTACAACCTCGTCACTTAAAAAATACTTATTAAAGTTCTGGATTACATGGTTGCAGGATGAAAAACGAGACTACTTAACACGATGAATATGATTATCTAATCTTATTTATTAACCAAGCTTCGCTCAGAATCGTTTTTGTATAATTATATGTGTACATTTTAGCCACTTGTATTTAAAAAAACCGTAATATATTTACAAGTTTTCTGAAATCCTATAATTTCTAATTGAAAATCATTCCAGACCCAATTGACTTGTACGTTTTAACGTCGAAAAGATTTAAGTATCAGGATGTGGATCATTATTAGTATACGTTGTCGTTGCACACATAATTATTTTATTTTTCGGTGTAGCCAATAGCTGCTGATGATATGTCCAATACCTACGCATAATTTTTACAGGATCGGATCGCCGGCCGCCGCCGATGCCGTAGCCAATACAAATAAAACTAAAGCAAAAATCTTTTGGACGACGCTCAGAAATTAAAATATTTTTGCTTCGAAGATGTGTTTTTGTTTACGTTGATTCGTTTATGGTATATTTTTGTACCTAGTAAAAGATCAAAATTTTATCGTATACCTTTATTGTATTTGTATTATTTAATTTACTTTGACTGTGAATTTATAGCAAATGTATTCATTTTTTAAGCTTATATTTCACAATTCGAGTTAGGTGTTTAATATTATGTAACTAATAGAACTTAAAAGCTTTATGAGTTGAATTTAAAATTAAATTTTCGAATTTTTTTTTTTGTTTTTCCATTTATTTTTGCAGTACACGTAATTTTTTATAGATAGGGAGGATAAATAGAAAAAAAAATTTTTAAAATCTACATAGGAATTGTGTACATAATGTAAAAAATTAAAAAGGTCTATAGGAGGATCAGATCCTTTATTTTAGGTATCTCTCCCGCTAATTTTGGACACTTTTAGGGATTTCCTCTGGACTTAATAACTTTAAACTCGGAGATTATAGATATCTTATAGTTGACGAAATAAAGTGATAAGATTTTGATTGAATTTCATCATGTTGCGAAAGGAGTGTTTTTTTAACTTTGTACACTCCTAAAGACCCTTCTACACTAAATTAAGCTTGGTGGATGGAATTTTATATAAACCGGGTGTAAGTATCAACGACGTGCTTGTTGGGTGTGTCAACTTTTAACCCCATATCCTTATCATTTTAATGGGCAAATTTCATTATTATTTTGGATGTACCCTAGCATAATTATTGTAGTATCTATAGTAATTATTGAAAATGATATTCCTATATTAGGTACAAAATAGGTGAACAAAATTCGACTCTAATAGTGACGGAATTCTAGCTGCTCTCAGGTGTTTGTTTATTATTACTTATTATTATTATTAATTTATACTTATGTTTATTTCAAAACGAAAATTTGATTAATTATTAGCGTTTGTTATACCTAATCATAGTCCGATAAGGTCTATATACTAAGGTTATAAGACCGAAACGATATATTATTAAAGTCTAAAAATCGTTAATAGTTGATAAAACTATATTTTACCAATTTGTATGTTAAATATATTTATATTTGTTTTAGGGAATAATTACATATTGCAATATATTTTATCTTATTTTAAAATCTATATCATATAGTTCGTTCGTTAAAAATATAATATTGTTGTTAACCGTTACGCGATATAATAGTGTAATGTATTAAAAAAATATTATCTTTTTACTGTTGTTATCTATATGATCTATATGGACCTATAATGCTTTACTTATAAATATAATAATATATTATTATCTTCTTTTCTTTAATCATAATAATAATACATTATTGTATTATAATTTTCCGGATGTATTGCGAGGAAAAAAATAAATCAATAATTCGGTACAGACAAAACAGGAAAGAACGAATACAATGTGCGCGTAGAATTGTGTAAATAAATTATCTATATTGTATAGGCGCGGGAATAGAAATATTATTTTCTCTCGTTAAATAATCACAAAACGAATATGGCAAATATATTAGTCCGGTTATTGTATACCTAGTCAAAACGTCTTGTTTTAAAATTTATATATATTCTTTTTTTCACGGTTGCCAATATTTTTTTTAGACTTTAGTGACGTAGATATAGTACCTATTGATTTTATTTATGGAGAATGTATGTATGTGAACAAATTGTCGATTTTATCTTTTGATAACTTACTTCGATCGAAAACTCATAAAGTTGTATATACTTTGTAGATGCCGTTATTTCCGAAATTCGTATTCTACTTTCCTATAATAATAATAAGGAAAACGGGGACTAATGGTATTACCTACAAACTTTATTATTATTTTTTTTTAAATCGATTTTCTTTTAAGTTATTAACAATCAGTAAAAAATATAGTCGTAGAGATCTGAACACTTTTAACCGTATACTCAGTGGTTAAAGTTGAGTGAAGGGGTGAGAAACGGAGTCTTATTTAAAGTAAAATCAACTGTCTTCTTTAGTTTAAGTCCTTGAAGTCCGGGGCGACGCTTTAGCTATTGTCACTGAGACATTTGTAATGAAATTTTTAAAACACGAATACATTTTATTAAAAATAAATTATTTAATACCTATTCGATTATATGTATACCTAATCTGATTCTGTTTTATTTTATTTAGCAAAAAAAGGCGTATGATAAAATGTGTATAATTATTATTTAGATTTATAAAAATTTTATTAAAAAAATAATTTGAAAAATATTTTGAAAATCTTATCTCCATAATGGGTTTCCTGAAAGTTTGGTTGGATTTAGTTAGCTTTTGAGAACGTTCTTTAGTTTTTGTTAAATATGGTCCTCTTCGAAATTTTGCCCACATTAATCACTGTGGTATAATTTTGTTATAGCGGTTTCTATTTTACTGTATTTGTGTATACTGTACACTGATGTATACTCTTTGCTTACAGTCATCTGCCAGTGCAGTAGAATAGTAGATTACGCAAATTCCATGTAACAGTATTTTAGTACTATATTACAAATGACACCGTAAATTTGACCATAAACCTATTCTCTATGGAATGCGAATTCAACCTCCGCTCGTCTACTAGGTAGACGCAACTAGGTATTGACTAAGCGTAATAGAAATAACGAATGGTTCATCTAAAGCACGAGATACACAGGGCTGGAAACAATATGATTGGTGGGTGTAGGGTATACGTTCACTTTAATGTTGATGCTATCTAGATTTCCAATATAAGCAACTAATAGGTATTTTTTCGAACAAACAGTTGTTACATTTAAGGTATAGGCGTGGCATTTACAATCATATCTAGTAACCGTATCGATATAACTGGATCATTCATGGCGATCAACAAAAATAATAATATTAAAATGTAATAATTTAAAGAGTGACTGCAACTCCCAACAGGCGCTAGCGTTGTTATTTGATTTCAATATTCGTATCCAGTTTTGAGTATCTTAATTAGTTATCCAAAGAGAATATAAGAATGTATTGTTATGTTTTAATATAGATAACAATACATTCTTATATTCTCTTTTGTTTTAACATAGATAAATTACGTGTGATTAGTTAATAATTTGGAATAATAATTTTAAATTTCTATCGACAGTTTAACATATTTGTAGATTTTTCCCCCATGATAAGTCCATCCGATAGTTCTGTTTCTTTTGCTCAATATCGACCCGTGTTTTCTCTCTCTAAACGCAATCCATAATTATTAGATCTATGAGTTTGACGGTGTAACTATGTATAGGTTATGTTTTATACGTGTTTTGTGTGTGATCTGTACTTAGGTTGATAACTATCAAAATTAAAAGTTGTTACCAAATTAACGATATATTACGATAATACGAAAACTATATTCCACGTCTTCGTATTAGAAGCGTTGCATAAACAGTAGGGGGACCAAGAATAAAAAAAAAAAAGAAAAAAACCCTTGACTACCCTAATAGACAACTAAAGTATTAGATCATCTATGTTGGTCTTGACCAAAACGACCGTACCGAGTAGGATCGTTGACGGCCGTATACGTTATAAGATAACTCGTTCTTATGTTAAATCGAGAAAAAAAAAACGTATGACACAACGTTTTATGAACTAATTATTAGGACCGTGATAAGAGCTGAACCCGATACCACAATAAAATCGATTGTTTTGTTGACATATAAGAAAAAACCCGATTTTATTCATAAAGCCGGTTTTATTCAATTAAACCGCATATTATTCGAGCGTCCTTAAATTAAAAGTGGTTTATCTTATTTAAACCATTTTAAGTTGTTTACACGATACATGACTAGGTAAATCGCTTTAATTTTAAAACTATCTAAACGTAGTAAATTTCTAGTTTGTGCTGCGGATACTTGGCTGTTTAGGCCACGTGCCTAACATAATGCACTCGTGCAGTATGATACACCGACCGCGTGTTGGACAACGTTGTTAGTAATTATTATGATTCCAAAACAGGTTATAATTTGAAAATGTTTGTTTTCTTTTTTTTCGAATTGTTTATTTTATACTAGATGTACCAATACTCTATAGGTATTTGAAATTATTTAGTATTATTATGTAAATATTATGTACACTAGTCACTAGGTATAGGATTTCGGTCTCGTATAATCGTTAGAGTATTCGCTGATACAACGATCGTAATTATTGTTAATAGTGTTCTTATAATATTATATGTTATATCACTGGAAAAATAATTTTTTAGAGCAATAATTGTCGCCGTTCATGATTTTTTTCTGTTACAAGTACAACCGCCGCAACGTGAAAACCTCCGAAACTCGTTCTTTTTTATACCGTCACAAAATTCGTTATCTATAAATTATATATTTATAAACAGAACGTAGTGGTTTTTTTTTTTTTTTTTTGCGCCGAAATACGAATGATTCTCCGACGATTTCGGTGACATGCGAAATTCCCGACGGCCTAGAACATCATACATATTATAATATACCTATTATCTATTCATAAACTCGTAATTATATCGTCTTTTCGCAAACTAAAAATGCGCAGTCACCGAGCGATGGTTTTTTTTTCTGTACATAATTTATTCACGGGCGAGATAACGCACAGTTTAGTAACATCAGACACGCATCGTAAAAAGCTCGTTGCATTAGGTACGAATATCTTTTCGGCAATAATCGCTGTCAAAAAAAAAAAAAAAAAAAGCCGTAACAATTTTACATAAACTCGTACTCAAAACCGAAAAACCGTCAGCTTTTTTTAAAATAAAAGTATGTCAGAAAATTCAATCCATTTAAATGGTAATTTTCGCACTTTACGCCGCCGCCGTGCCGTGTAAACGTGCGGTTGTCATAACCGTTTATGCGCAAATTTAATTCACTCGGCGGTGCATGACGACCCGCACTTATATTGGTAAACGCCTGGGCGGGTTCGGAGTTTGTATAGTAGGAAAAATTTGTTGTTTTTTCTTCTTCTTCTTCTCGCGACCACGTCAAAACCGAAAATCATCCCGTCGCCGTGATATTTTCGTGATCGTCCTCTCCCCCTCTCCCCTCTGGCCTTCGGCCGTGTGGCGGCGTACAATTTCGGAAACGGATTTGTTTATGGAAATGCACGTCGCGCTATTTTTAAAATTACGACATCTTTAACGCTGTGATAGTGTTTATACGTACGATTACGTACGCGGCGCGTGCACATCACGTAAGTTTGAACTATACGTCTCCAGGCGTCTACCGGTAATAGATAAAATAAGAGCGTAAGAAAAAAAATAGCAAAAAAAAAAAAATAAAAAAATTTACGTATTATGTAAAGGTATAATATTATAATGTGTATATAGATAGATAGGTATAGTAATAATCATAGTCATTATCAAACACAATATTATAATCGTTACGCTCAAGAATAAATTCGATTATATTTCGTGTGTCGTCGGTGTGTAGAATATACGACGCGTTACTCTTATTTTCGAAAATCGAACCGAATATTATTACCGATTGAACCAATTTTATCGTAACAAAATTAATTTATTATATTTGCATTGGCACAGCAACTGTATACGACGACTGTTGAACGGTAAATTGCGAAAGGATTAACACTTTTTTTTTAAATTCGATCTGTAAACCGGACAAAATAAATACGAAACTGCGATAAGACGCGTATTATGCTAACTGCGATAATGTTCGAACGACATAATATAGGAGGTATATATTCAACAGTATAATATAATAAAATGATTTAAAATATTCATTTATAAATAATGAGCCGTCCGTAGTATTATCTTCTATCGGATATCAATATCACGAGTATCACGATCAATATCAAAAGTCATAAGTCTAAATAACTGTCACCGATTCTAAACGGTACATCGAGTATAATATAGGTACTATAAATTCAAGGTATCGGTTTTAAAATTATGATAATTATTTTGATGTTAGATGTCAGTGAAAACAGAGTGCGCAAAATAATTTTTTACAATACATTATACTGTTTTAAAATAAATTGTCGCAATCAGTATTATGTACTTTATCGGTTTTATCGCAGTTTATATTTTCTTTTGTTCGTAGTTTACATTCTCGACCATAGATTACACTTTTTTTTCAACAAATCGTCTTTTATAGATCACCTTTTTCCCCCCATAGATTACTAATTTTTTTCATAAAACATTCCTTTTTTACCATAGATCACCCTATAGACCAGTTTTTATATAATCTATGTTATTTCAAGAATCATTTCGTGTGAAACTATTTCAGTAATATATCAGTATAATTAAAGTACAATGTGTAGTAAATCTGTTGAAATTTGTTGAAATAATAATTTTTCGTACCAGTTTCAAGCCTGCAGTAATCACGAATATATTTTTCGAGATTATTTAAACAGTTGTAAGTAATTCGGTATAACTATATTATTGTAAATTATTAAAATAAATTGCTGTTAAAATCGTTCTTAATAAATCTAGAAACCCGTGTCATCAAAATCACTACAAGAATAATAATTTTTAGTTTTTTTCCTTTTATTTAAATTCTATTTGACGAATATGGTATTCTGTTCGACCTTAAAATTCAGGGTTCATCATTTTATGTATATTCTTTTTATTATAAGTGTTTAAAGACTAATATTATAGGTCTATACAATGCAGGCTATATAATGAAACAATAATCAAAATCAATAAAAAATAAACGATAGGATTCTCGGCGACTAATTTGCACGTTAATATACGCTTTGAGTACTGCAGACTGTGACGCTTATGTGTGATAATAAATTATGTGTGTTTACTCGTAAAGAAAATTATATATATTTAATAAACATTTTTTTTTTAAAAATAGGCATTAAGTAGCATTTGCTGGCTTTGCCTTTCTGACGAACGTAATATTGTAAAAATGTGTTCACGCAAAACACACGAAAAAACCTTTAAAATCGTGGTTTTAGAGATAAAACGTTTGTAGACGATGAGGTCCATGTCGGTGTGTATTTTTTCTATAATCCCTTGTGGAAATAGGACTGTACCTATGTAGAATCGACAAATGTGAGGACATGCACTGTGAGAACACATGCATATTTTGTTGTCTCTGACGTATACAAATGCACGACCTAGTAAATTTGCATTCGGCCGAATCAATTTTGAGTTTTTGTTTTTAATATTAGAGCGAATTGTTGTCAAATTTAAAGGTAAGCACATTATCTGTGTTTGTACGTTTTAGTTTTGGCTTAAGCTCTTTTTTAAGTTGCATTATTCCACACACTCGTGTGTCGCTTGAAAATTAAAATAACGTTAAAACAATCGACGAGCAAACACAAATGCAATGTCTTTTTATGTTTGATAACAGGTCGATTCACTGAAATGTCAAAACCAACAAACCAAAATCAGTTCTGCTGTACCTTTCCAAATTTGTTAAAAAGTGCTGTTTAAAGACGTTTTTTAAAACTGTTTTTAAGACTGAAACAATAAACGTATGACGTGCAGCGTTCTCTTTTAACCAGACCGGTCTGCGATCATTAGATTATTCGCACTTTTGTAAACGCGTTTTACGTAATAAAAAAAAAAAAATGTTCTCATGATGTTTATTTTTTTGATCTGTTTTCCGAACGATTATGATATTTATATATGATACGGTATTGCATAGGTGTTACGCAACGGGAACGTATATAATATTATTACATATTCGTTTATCAAAATGTAATTTCAACTATAGGTCTAAAATTATCTACCGTGCATCTTTTTACGGGCAGCGAAAAAAAAAAACTAAAAAAATCGAAATAATGATCTAATATATAAAGTATTAAGTATAGTACAATGGTATGTATAGTACACAGTCACTGTGGTGAAATACATGATAATATCATCGCGTTATCTGTCTGTGTCGATCTAATATATTATAGCAAAAATATGTTTTCGTACTTCCAATAGTACTGGACCGTATAATAAAATATAGACCCGCAACAATAATTGTTCCATCAAATCAAAAACATTTACTATGCTAAATCACTTGGGAAATTTTTTTTTTTTATATCGGGACTTCAAACCTAAAAAAAACAAAAATTATTGTTTCCTTAATAGTAGATTGTCCGGTGAATGTAACGAGAATGTCTAGTGTAGTAAATGTCACCGGATTTAATTCGGTGGAATAATCTTCGATTTGGATCCCCCGAATCCCTGGAAAACGCATTTTTACTATATCGCTCGTTAGACAGACAGAACCGGTGAATGTACATTACCGTGACGTCCTCTTAATGCGCTTATTGATGGTACCAATTATTTTGATGTAAATTCTAACGCGGATATAAAATATTATGAAATCAGAAATATAATACGGGGAGGAGAGGGGGGATAAGCCTTGACGTAAATACTGTTGCAGTTGTTATTGTTATTTTTACGTGAAAAAATACGAGTAGACAACATTAAAAAAAAAAAAAAAAAAAACAATTGTATCATATATATTCTCCGGGGATTATCGTTGACTTTTTATTTTTCTTTTAAAAACCAAAAGTTATTATTATTAGCAGTAGTAGTAGTAGTAATAGTAATAGTAATAGTAGTAGTAGTAGTAGAAGTAGTAGTAGTAATAGTATTATTAGTATAATGCAGCACCGCATAGAATTGTGCTGCTGTTGCAATAAACCATACAGTATTATATTCAAACGTTTATCTGATCGGTAGTTTTCGAACATCACGTGAATCGTTTATGATTATAATAATATTATTATGTACCTATGTATATTGTTATAACACATACGTTCGCGGTGATAACAAAATTGACAAAATATAAATGTTCTCATACAATATAAATTATGATAAGTATACAATAATAATCGAGCCGGTAAGCGAGCGTTCGCAATGGTGGTCACTCTGCGGGGCAAACAGCTGTCGAGTGGTCTAGCGTAGACTCGAATAATATTATTCAGTTGCATGCTAGCTGCCAGTAAAAAAAATTTTTTTTTAAGTTTCGTGTGATCTCTCTTGTACGCTTTTTTTTGAAAAAAAAAAAAAAAAACGAATAGCATATTATATTAAATTATTATTAAATTGTTATTAGTTTCGATTCGTTTCGTTTCGTTTTTTTTTTTTTTAATTATTTAGATCTAAAAAGTTTACATTTTCCTATTAGCAGTACTTACGGAAAAAAAAAAATACCGTTTTTTAAATTCGTTCGTTTTTATTTATTATTTATTTATTTACTATCATTATTATTATTTTTACTCTAAAGGTAAATCTATTTGGCAAATTATTTGAATTATATTATTATTAATATTATTATTACTATCACTTTACTGTATACTTGTTATTTTTAACTATTTTAACATTGACGCGATCGGTGCGTTTTTTGTAAATTTAAAGTCGTTTTTCCGAGATGTTTCAGTGACGGGGCGGGTATCTCACCGATTTTTCGTTCCCCGTTTAAATTTTAATTTCGTCGTTTTCCTGCTGTGCCGCCGCCGGCTCTCTCTCTCTCTCTCTCTTTCCCTCTGGTCGCCGACGGAATTTTTCCCGTGAGCTATTCGCGGAGCGTTCCGGACCCGGTTATCAAACTTTTCCGAGCGTTTTCATCGTTTTTCGGTCCGGTATTTTCATCACGGATATGTCGGTGAAATCTAAACCATAAAATTCTCTATTCGTATCGTGTTTAATATTTTATTGTGTGACGCAATTCTATAGAATTTTAAATACCACCATCGCCGTTTTATAATATGTCAACATGAAGTGTCGTGCGCGTTTTCAGTCGGTACTGCCGCGCGCACACATGGTCGTCTGTACAGTAGGTACAATTAAACTTATATAGAGCCGCAAACCGTTTAGAAGATAATAATTTTTTTTTTTTTTTTTTGACTTTTAACGATATATACGTAATTGTTATCTTATAATACGACGACTGCGGTGCAATAACGACGAACTCATTCGATAAACGGTCGTATTTTCGAGAATTGCAGGTACGGGACGATCTCGTAGTAGTAGTAATAGTAGTAGTCGTCGTCGTCGTCGTTAACATAATTTAAGTTGTTTCGTTTTTTTTTCCGGTAATTTTTTTTTTTTTATCACTTTTACTTTTCCCCTCGGCGTCGTCGAGTATAACAAATTATTATTATTCAACTACGCCAATTATATACACATTTATGCGTGTTCGGTATGTTTTGTTGGCTCCGGCGGCGGCGGCGGCGTCGTCGTCGTCGTCGTCGTCGTTGATGAATATTTGTCGTGTGCTTGTCGTGCTGCTGCTGCTGCTGCTGCTGCTGCTGCTGCTGATGCACCAGGTATTCTCTCGCCTCGCAAAGCCGGTAGTCGTTTGGTCGGTCGTTTTAGTTGTTTCTTTCTCTTTTTTTTTTTTTTTTATTGACGTGTAAATTATCATTTCTCCCCCCTCCCCGCGGTTTTTAATTAGTATACCCATTAGCGAAACGACTATTTCTTCGGGTTTTCCTCCCCCCCCCCCCAAAAAAAATATCGTTTTTGTAGTATTTTTTTTTTTTTGAAAATTGGCGTTTGTCGCCCAGCGGCGGCAGTAGACACGTTCGTGTAAATAAATAAATAACGATAGTAAAAAAAAAAAAAAAAAAATTAATGTCAGCGCAGTTAACTGTTGTAAATAACGCACATAATGTGTGTAGCATTTTAAGCCAGTGTAGTTCGTTGACCCAAACATATTATTCGTATTATTACGTAGATTATTTTCTATTATTATTATTATTGTTGTTATACAGCGGCGGGTATAATTGAACGCGGAGGGGAGGGGTTTTTTTTCACGTTGACTAATGCATTAACAGCCTTTGAAAATCTCGTGTATCATGATATCAGGCCGTCGCGACGAGAAACCGCGAGACTTGACGAACGATCGTCGCGAAACACGATAATTATTGCATTAGTGTTAATATACAGCTGTCGTGTGTGTGTGTATGTAGAGTACACGGTTCCCTTAGACGTATACGTATACGTATAAATTATAATGAATAAGTATGAATGAAATTGTTTATTTTTAACGGCGCGGAGGCGATTAAATACGATTGTATACGGCCAATTAAAAAAAAAAAAAAAAAAAAAAAAAAAAAAAAAAAAACGGATCGCGGTTTCGGTCGAATAATACACATATCGTAACTGGGAGTGTCTTATACACGTATATAATAATAATAATATACGGTACACAAATTGATAATAATAATGCAAAAGCAGTATACCCATAGACCCATATACGTGTATCATGCTGCGCCAGTTAATAAGCGGAATATTATAATATTAATAAAATAATATTTTTTTTTTTTTTTTTTTTCAATTTTTTTAATGGCCGGGCGCGCATAGGTTAATTCCGTTAAGAAAACGATAGCGGCCCGTATTTATAATACATTATAGGTAACGTAAATAATAATAATTACTAGTACCCCATTATTGTGTTATAATAATATTTCGGTATAGCCGCCGTTGATGACGCTACAAAAATCTAGTAGGCAGTGATGTAGTGTAATATTGGCGTAATCTTATCGGCGTTATTACATTTGATTATAATTATTATTATTATTCGTGCGAACCGTACAGTTACATCAATTATTGTTACCACCACTACGGCCACTGTTATAGTATACCACTATCACAACCACCACCGCCACCGCCGCCGCCACCGCCACCACCGCCACCACCGCCGCCTCCCAGCAGCAGCGGCGGCTATGATAACGGGCGCTGCACACAGTCCATCGTTAAATTAGACGATTAGGTAACCGAACGGCCTTGAACTTTTCTCACGCATAAATACCGAAATCTTCCAATCGAAAATAATCCACTACACACTTACTGCGACACGCCGCCGCGCTGCTCGCTGCTGCTACTGCTGTTGCTATTGCTATTGCTACTGCTGCGACACGCGCACGCATAACGTTGCAAAATATTTCGGACGTTCCGCATTATCCTACTCTCATGTTACCTTTACCGCTTTTGCCGTGAACTTCTGGCCAATCGAAAATAAACGTCCCAATTGGCACATTCTTTTCGGCCGCCGGTTGCCAACTAGGAGTAGAAAAAAAAAAAAATAAAAAAATAAGAAAAAATACAACTAGAGAGGAATAAATTAGAATAGTTAAAAAAAAAAAAAAATCCAAACGGATAATAATTGTTATAAAAGCGTTTTTAACGATTTCGGTTCCTTCGTTTTGCAGTGGAGTGGAACACGGCGACGAGATCTACTCTCTGTGCCAGATACCGGTAGTCGTCAAGACCGAAGTGCCGGATAATTCCTCGTTACCGTTGCCGCCGTCGCCGCCCGCACTGCTCTTAGTCCAGAAAGTGTCGTCCACAGAGAAAATCATCAAACCCAAGTGTCTGGTGGATACCACTACGTTCTTGTTGCCGTCCGGCGACGGAAGAGTTTACTTGCCCGAAGAGAAAACCGACAAGCCCGCTGCAAAAGCGTCTGAAGTACCGGCGACGACGACCACCATAGCGGCCACAAGCTCCACGTTCAACGTCATCAAGAAAAAACCCATCGTCTGTTCGGAAAGCCCGAAAGCCACCACGGCCAAAATATTCGCCCCTCGAACCGAAGACATGAACAAAGGATTTTTGACGTTTTCCGACGACGACACGGGACTGACAAGTAAGTCCGAAAATCTCTAGTTTGTCCGTATAATTTTATTGTTTCTATAATTTTTCCTAACGTGTTCTCAGTGCTCAAAGACGAACCGGAAGACTTGACTCACTTGGCCCCGACGGCCGGTGACGTGTGCGTGCCGTTGGACACTTGCGGTATTGGTCACCTGGGTTTCGTCATGTCTGACGTACTCGACGACTTGATCCTGACCGACTGTTCCCTGGCGCCGTTCGACTCACTGCCTGCTTCGTCCCTTCACGACACGTACTCGTCGACCCGTTCGTCGTCGCCGATGCACCACCTCGGGGACGATCTGTCACCGCAGACCGCCGATCTGTGCGACCCAACCATGTCCTCGCTGCTGGGCATCGACCTGGACAACAGCCAAAACGACCTGGACCTAGACTTGTCTCTCAAGAATCAATTCATACCCATGTACGAAGACGACCTATACCCGCTGTTGTCGGACGATCTGCTATGGGGCGACGACAGGTTGCCGTCTCCGAAACCGGCCGCGAACGGCAGCAGCTGGTAAGTGACGCCCAGGAAAGAGTTCTCCGCTCTAGCCGCAGACGAGCGTTCCGTTTCTAAATACCTAAAATTGTACCGTTTGGACGTTACAGGCATTTACCGACGACGGAAACGGTGCAAGACGGCCGCGGAAAAGACGCCGAGCCCAGCTTAGCCCAGTTGCTAAAGACCGAAGCGAACTCATCCAGACAGCAGCATTTCGACAGCGGTGGCGGTCATCAGATAAACGGCGGCAGTGACTCTTGGGGATCGATCAGCAAGATGTTGCACCAGCGGTACAACGCCAGTGCGGGTTCCGCGGAAGCGACGGGTGAGAGATTCGGGGACAATAGTTCTTCGATTCGTTGTTGACGGTATCGGGCGGTATTGACTTTTTATCGTGCATTGTGTTTGTTCGCAGACGACGTAGACACGAGGACAATCGGCGTCAAGCGTGTGGGGCCGACGAACGCGACTTCGGCCCCGTCGTCGTGGAAACGGTGCAAACAAGAAGAAACGGCCAAGCAAGGCGCGTCCAACAGCGTGCTCATGAATCTGCTGGTCAGTGGTTGCGACGTGAGTGCCGGTTACGTGTGTTTCACGTCGGCAAAACCGAAAAAAGTGGTGACGGCGGCGTCGGCGACGGTCACGTCGCCGCAGCGCGGTCATAATAATCCCTCTCGTTTTTACGAGCAGCATCGGCAGACGCAGCCGCAGCGACAGAATGCGGTGACGGCAAAGTGATAACAGTGACGCCCCGTTTGTCTAACCGGTGAAACGTTTAGATATGAAAAATTTAGATAAATATATGTATTGAGTACGGTGCGGTGTATTCTCATCGGCCGGCGGCGCCCCCATGATTCCTGCGACGTCGTCCCTGCATGTTGTATATGTATAGTTATTATGAAATAGACACACCGTATACAATATAATATATTAGAAATTACTTTCTGGCTTTTGGCGTCCACACCGTGATATTATTGCAACGGTCTTTGTCATTTTTTTATTAATGATTTAGTAGAAGAAAAAAAAAAAGTAGAAAGAAAGAAGAAGAAGAAGAAGAAGAAAAAAAAGAAATTGCAGCAGTCGAATTTTCACAGCGGCCGTTTATAATAATATAGCGTGTGGACGGTTTTTTTCCGGGGAATTTCAAATATAAGAAACACGTAATATAATAACAATAATATATTACATATTAAACTGTATGAGTATATTGTTTATTAATGTTTCTTAAAAATGAAAAAAAACTATAAAAAACCAATTAAATATATATATATTATATATGTATATATATATATTTCAAAACACTATTAGTCGGTATATAATAATATATAAAAATAATAATAATAATAATTAATTGTCGTTTAGTCATTCTATATGTAATAATATGTGTACACGACGTTAGACCGTTAGACGGCTAACGTTTTCAGATCCTGTGATGTTTTGTAACCAACTATAATATATTATGCAAACATCGTTGCGAATTGTTTACTACTACCATTTTATTCATATATTACTTGTAATATATAATATTATATAGTTTATATATATATATATATATATATATATATATACATATATACATTTTATTTTGTTTTAAAAATAATTTTGTCAAATAATAAAGAACGAAACATTTTGGTTTTTATTGGTCTCTTGTTGATCCTTTCAGTATTATTTTATAGTAGTGTATCAACAGCTCCTCCTCGACTCGATACGAAGATCGATAAAACACAAAACCGTGTACAGTGTACAGTGTTTATTTAAGGGCTCTGTGTTCCAAAACCATAATCAGTGTCATCCTGTGGAACGAATCTAAAAGTTTTTGAAGAATTGGTCGGTGTACGTTTTCGACAGACCTTCTTTTAAACCTTTAAAATACCCGTGTATTTCAATACGTTTTGTCGGTTGTTATTATGGAGGGCTTACATTTTCACAGCCCTATTGCATTTTGCGCCCTAGTAACCTCTATAAGATAAACAGTGCATACAATATATTGTATATAGATGTTATCCTGTACGTTTAGAAAATATTATTCATTAATTTCTGACTGCAGTGGTGCTAGTATCGTATATAGTTAACTTTATAATCATCGTTATTGCCAATGTCGATGAAATAACTCTTTATCGTGTATTCTTGTTGGTAAAACCTAAAGTAATATCGGTCTATGTGTTTTTTATGCTGAAAATTTATTGTACAAATTATTAAAATTAATGAACATTTTTACTATAAAAATATGCGTCCGGAATGCCAAGTGGACGATAGTTATATTGTTATAGAAGAAATTCGAAAACAGTAACAATGATATCGGGCGCATTGCAAAATAGTTTTAATTTATGTTCTGAAAGGATTTAATTTTACTGATGTACAAAGGTTAGGTTTATATATTTATTTAATTGGAATTTCAGGGAAGGGGTGAATTCATCCCCTATGATGATTAGGTTATTTACACATTTTCTTAAATTCCCGTTGAAGAGGAGAGGGGGGAGAAGTTGGGCCCCAGTCACTACGTTAATGACGGTTTAAAAACTATATTAATCAAGGATATATCACATCATCAGTCGACCGACGAGGAGCATGATGCCGCCGGTTAGGTTAATTCTAACGCTAAGCTGGATTATGGTGAATCTCAAACCGAACCCGATATTTTACGCCGAGTATTTAAAACTTAACCCCTTACACTATATTATCACTTTGTCGTCGCGGGAACAACAGTGACACTGACTAATGCCGTTGTTGTCGCCGTCCGTTTACCAAATTTGTCAATTTGTGACGCGTTTTTTTCATCCGTTTTGTTTTCATTTTGCAGGGCAAATCGCCAGCGGGAAAAAAAATGTTGGTCGACGGCGTATCGACCATGCCACGGCACCGATCTCGGCTAAAGAGCTCGTGTCTCCTGGACCCCGGCAGCACTGCCATACCGTCACTGATGGACTTGACCGAACAAGACTATGATGTGAACGCCCCGGCTGGCGGAAAACTGCTACAGGGTTCGGAATTGCTGAAGGCTTTGGAAATCGGCGGTGGCTAAACGCAGGTTATTGCCTTTCCGCCACGAGCAAGAGACCGATAGAGAAAGAGCGAGCCGTAATCAATAACGATAATATAATAAATTTATATCCCATAATAATGATAATACATATATATTTATATACATAGATTTAAAATTATGCGCATTTTTTTTTTTTTTCATTTTCTATCGCGTACCATGTTAATTATTATAATATAATGTATAACAATCACGTGTAATCGGAAATATGAAATAGAGCGGCTATCACCGAACGTTGAGTGCAGAATCATGAAAAAAAAAAAACAAATGAATATTCTTCCGATTTATTATCTCAAAACTCATGAAATCAATGGATATTTTCGATACTTTTCTATTATATTATTATCCGTGTACGAGTCGTCACTCTCGAAAAATCATACTTATGATTTTTTTTTTTTTTAATTTCGACTTCTTTTCGAATTATTTTGTCAAAAATTGTACGTCGCTCTGCTTGTTATATGCATTACCGGTACTAACCTTATTATTATTGTTTTTCATTTATATCATCGCTTCTTACCGCTTAGATTTTTTTTTTTTTTTTAGGTTAAATTTTATTTTTAAGAAAACCGAAAAATACACTACGCAGTGTGGGAGGAACAGATTGGTAGTTTTTAAAAATAATTCCCCTCCCTTCCTGTTTGCCTTTTAAAATTATATGTTGTGATATTTTAACACATATAAAAAACCAAAGCTGTTTACACAATAGTAATATAGGCAAGTTTGAACGATTTTTTTCTTTACACACATCAACCAAATATATTTTTTATAAAATGTAATCTTGTACCTTAGAATTTTTTTTCTAAATATATAATTTTATTTTGTAAATTGTTTAATCTCTTTTTTTCTTCTATGAAAGAGACGAATAATTATGAAGGATTAACAATCTGTTACAAAATCTCAATAACGGAAGTTTATTATTATTTTTTTTTTTTTTTAAACTGTAAAAATCATTGTGAAGTATATATTAATGTGCCTTTTTTTTTCTTTGTTTAGTATATTATATATTGTGTATACGAATCTTAAAATTTTTCTTTATTCATACTTCTGGCAAACAATAAAAATAATAATATGTTATGTTGTACAGTGAATTGTGGTGGTGATGGTTTTTTGTATAGAAGAAGTCCGAACGCTCAAATATTATTTTGTATAATTCTTTTTAAGATGGAAAAATTATATTTAGTGTTATTTTATTGTAATATATAATCGGACATTAACGTGATAGTATGTAAGCGTAAGTTATTTTTCGATACATTTCTTTAATTTTGTTTAATTTTAATTTTACTTTTTTCTTCCCTCAACATAGTTATTTTTATTAGTCTTAAGCAGATTGTGCATTGTGTTGCTAACGTTCATATTATATTATTATTATTATATTATATAAATTTATTTTATTATATTTAGATATTATATTTTATTTAATACAAAACATAACCATACAATTATTATTTTATTCAAATTATTGCATAGTAATAGTTTGTTCCTGTTTTATGACTTTCGCCTGACAAAATAATGTTGACAGACTGACAGACTGGTAAATTGTCATAAAATCTTTAACCCTCTATTCTGTCTTCTCTCTATTTGATTTTATCGTTTTTGACCAAACGGTTGAAAATTGATTGCATAGGTGCTTCAAACATGTGAAAAAAAGATGCAATGATGCTGTAAGAGTCGTTTTTAAAATTGATGCGTGAAAGGAACTAGAAAACAAAAATTATTAAAAATAAGAGTAAAACGAATACATAGTAAAAAATAATAGAAGGTATAATATGATAGGTGACATACTTACGCCATAGTAGTTTATTGAAGTTGATTATTGAAGGTTACATAATTTTAAAAATTGGAAAGGAAGACCAAATTCTTAAGCTTCGAAAGATTGAAGACTTGAATAACACAAAACAATAATTATTACTCCAGAGAGAACGATTGATTACTTTAAATTTTTGTTATCGAATTTATTAAAAACTAAAACGTCTATCCGTTTTATATGCTTTTTGTATAATTAAATCGCTTAACTGAATTGCTTTGCAATATTTTTTTTTAATTCGTATACAAACGACTGACTAAAACGATGATATACTAACATTTAATTAAAAAATAATAAAAAATTTGAATACCTATTAAAATTGGTACATTTTTTACTTTATTGTTACAAACTGTTATCTCTACTGGTCGTTAAACGAGTGATATTTGAACGCCAAAGCTCAGTGTGAATAAGATAAACACAGTCTGCTAAACATTTTTTTAATTATTTATAGTACAAGTATCGATAAAAATTATTAGAAATTACGAATTAATCAACAGACATTTTATTATACGATTACAAGGTTTCGAATATTAGGTACTTTTAAATGCATTTTTTTTTTTTAATTTTTCGAAGGCTGCGGTATTTTTAATGATCACGTGTTTGTTTTTTTTTTTGCATTCAGGCAAACTCCGATCGCGGATAACAGTACTATGACGTGTATTTGATACGTTACATAATACATGTCTTATTTGGATCTCGGCGATTTTTCTTTTTTTTTTTACGAGTTTTTTTCACTCGTTTTTCTTACCAATGGAACGGGACGGGAAAAATCTGTTCAAATCATCTATATACTACAGATTTATTTTTATAAATTTCAAGATTGTCATTGTTAACATAATATCTACACAATAGCCTTGATTATTTTTATCGAATTTTCCCCGAAAATAGTGAAATTTGCAAAATTTTATCGTAGAGAAATTCAGCGATGCTCATAGGTTTTCAGTAATTGAGAGGACTGGCACAGAACCTTACATGTTAAATTTTATGTACAATTAATATAATGTGACACAAAAATACGTAACTATAACGAATCAAATATTTATGATAGTACTATTGAAATAATTATTTATTTATTCGGAGATATTTTGACAGACCGCCCTAATGCATTGTATTGTTTCTGTTACATAAATACGTAATATATGGTGTGGATAGAATACTTATAGGTGCCTCATATTTTTAAACAGAATGTTTCACAATACATTTTAAGCGTACTTATGTGCAATGATCGAATATCATTTATTTGTTCTTTATATATGCTATACATATTCTTATTTTTTACTTAACACGATGATTTAATCATTCATTAATACACTAGCTCTATAGTTGATAATATTTCAAAAACTTAAAAATGTCGATTCCTCAAAAGTTGGTTGTAACTTTAGAGCAAGATTATGCTTAAGAATTACGAGAAACAAAATAATTGAATAGTTAGATTAACATCTTCTCGAATCAGGACTGTTTGCCGGATTACTTCATGGAGAGGGGAGTAGTCTTGTGTGTAGGCAATTTTAACAACATTTTCGAAATTTGTAAGAATGTATTTACTCAAAAAAATTCAAATTTATTTTCAAATAGGTATAAATGTACAACTTAAATACGTCATTATGGAGAAACAACACCTGCAATTATATACAAATTAGGTCGTTTTAGGACTTAGGTCGCCTCAAAAATATTGTTTCCTAATAAAGCATATAAGTAGGTACCTATTATACAAGAAGGTCACCTATATAACAGCTGGTTTTAACACTTAGGACCTTTCTTACGAACATAAACATTAATTTCTAAACGGTTTACAAGATAACCGATTAACCGCGGTCGGTTATCAACCATAAATTCTGTTTAAAAAACAAACGGATATACATCGTACAATGCATGGACCACTGTTGTAAGTGAGAAGTTGGAAGGTAGATGGGCAATTTGATGTAACGTAAAGATTTATTATTACTAATAAAAAATGATTCTGAGCAGAGTTTGATTTTGCGTGTTTTGAATATTTACAATTTGAAAAAAATACGTATCGTAAATTGTCCCGTTTTTCCAACGTTTTTTTCCATTATTTATGGAAACCCACTCCTAAGCAAATTAAAAAATGACCTCCCTAAAGTTTCACGTCAATCAGATTTCTTTTTCGGAAAAAGTGTAGCACTTAAAAATTGGAAAAAAATTTTTGATAAAACATTTATTCACAGGAAAAATAAAACGTCATTGTAAAGCCAATGCATTTCTCGTTTCGCTCAGAATCTAAAATCAAATAAACGAAAGCGTAAAACCTCTTTTTTAAATTCATTTTTTTTTTTTGTTTTATCTTCTTATTTTTACTTAAGACAATCATACACCAATTATCAGTTTTATATGAAATTTTCACAAAACATAAATTTCGATTTATCACGTTTATTGTGAAATGTAAACGGAAACGTCGATATAAAAGTAGGTACTTATAATTAATCGCATCGGATTCGATCAGACGGTCCGATTATACGAACACTGTAAAAACGTTCTATACTCACTAGCAGCCGTTCATACTCACCGTCATTCATATTATAAGTACGTCATATTGGTCATCTGCAAGTACTTCGAACCGAGTTCGAGCCCACTATAAACGATTGAATTGTGTGTTTTATATCGAAACCACGAGCACAACACTACGCTGACTGCAGTTTTAACAATAATATTATTATCATTATCATTTATCACCGTCACGTCTTGTTCAACAATAAAATTATGACCAGTTTCGACACAGTTAGGTTCTTTGTTTTTTTTTTTTGGTTCCTAATCGAAACGACATCGGACTTCGGTGATCTACGCGGTGTAGCCCTCGAATCGTAAACACGTTATTTCCCAGAAAGAAATTGTACAGTATTGACAGTTTATTGTATACAGGGTGTTTGCTATTGCGAGGGTGAAAAATGATCTGAACGAATAAAACAATAAATAAAAATATAGTGAATAGTGATACGAATTTGTTTGGCAAAAATATCCCATAGACATGACATATCTAATGGTTTTTTCATTGAACTGAATAATTTCGAATATTGGAGTTGTCTTGTTTAATTCTCCTGAACAATTTCGAAAAGTGGATTTATCTTATTATTTTTTATATACTGAACCCTTCAAATCGCGTTTTTAAATCCAAACGACAATTCGACAACGCCTGAACACACAAATTCCCACAGAGTCTATTTCACTATTTTTTGCCGGGCGGTGTAATATAACATAGACTTTTCATTCCTTCCACCAAATTGTGATACCAATACATAGGTTCTCCTAGTTGCCTCATCGTCTAGGCGTTTGAGTAGTACATTCATTTCAAATTCAACTCCATTATAACGATCCGCTCGTTTAAATTTTAATTTCTATTCTATAAAACACTTCATTGAATAATTCATTTTTTCTATATACAGTATGCCAATTTTTATCCTCAGACATTTCGTTTTGGAATTCTCTTGAATCGTCGTACACTCCCTCCCCGCTTCCCCAAAAGTATCACTCTGTCGTCTCTATCGTACACCGCGACGTATTGCAGATTTTAGCCGTAGACAAATTTATTAAGTGGCTTTCTTTTTTTTTTATTATTCTTTATTAAGCCCACGGGTTTTCCATTATTCGTTTAGTTGTTTTAGAGTGTATTTTTCAACCTGACAACAATATACCATACAAATTTGTATTTTTTCCGGTAATAAAATAAAAGCATAACAATATAGTAAACACTAAACCGGCGTTCTTATAATATCACGTATTATAGGTATATTTTCTCGTCTGAACATTTTTACTGTTCATTTTACGGTCTTTGATTATTCTTTCTATATCTACACTTTAAATATTTTACTAGCCACTGTTCAGAGATTTTATTTTTTTCACCCACAAATTTCTTGATTTTTGTTTTTTTTTCCACGCATATTATTTAAATATTTATTAAAACAGTCGCTTCGATAAATTTTGGCTTCATTGAATATCATAATAATAATAAAAATAATAATATTCTTATTTGAATGTAAATTTCCGAAAATACTATTATTGTTATTATACATCGGCCATTGTTGGCGTGTATGCAAATAATCGAACTGACGCGAGATGTGCATCATGAAGTTTTAAATATACTAGGAAAGCGAATCGCTAGACATAGGCGGACTGTGGTATAATTGAAATTTAAAAATATCCACAGCTGGATTAAGGAGAAATTCGTGATGTTACACGACGACGAGGTCAAGATTTTTCGAAACGGGGGCGTCGTCGTGACGAGAACATAATATTATTGATATTTCAAGTATACATAGGTAGACACTTTTCATAACTCTCGAACACGGCTATTGACGTGTGAAGTGTAGACGATAGCCAAATATATTTTTATTGGGAGTGTAAAAATTAACAATTTTATTAACTAAAATATAAAGTGGTTCAACCCTTAGTATACCCTTACTATAGTGCTGTCTCGGGATAGTTTCGTCTCTGGACTTGTACACGAGTACCTATCCGATGTGATTTTATGCTCCGAAAAAAAAAAAATAAATACAATTCAAAGAGGTTCGTGCTGGTACTTGAAACATGATATTATATGATTTTAACATTGATTATCTCAGCTAATGTTTCGTTAATGGGATAATGTTTCGCCTCGTTCGGTTTTTGATTAATT